GGGACTTTTTCCATTATGAAATGCTCATAAGATATATGTCTTTCCACTATTTACAGTTCTAAATTCCAACTCACTGGGAAATCTTGTGGTGCCTATTCATACTATCATGCCTAGTAGTTGACATAGATTTGGTCTGACATTGATTCACTTTTCAAAGCACTTAACAAATGTAGTTAAACTATTTCAAGATCAGCTGAGGTGCTTCTTTTGCTGCATCTTTAGTTTTCCTTGAACATTCATAAGCATCTTAGATACAAATATGTCAGATAATTTTAAATTTTAATTCTACTTTCTGACATGGTAGTTCTGCTATTTACATTTTATTAGTTCTCTCCACCACTGTTTTATGCACTTTTATAGACTTGTGATCTGTAGAATATAATGAAAAGTGTATAATCCAAAATCTTCCCATCTATTGCCCATTCTTTTTCTTCAAAAATTACTTTTGTTTTGTAACTACCTTTCAGCTTTCTGTCTTTCAGATTTCAGATTGCTTGTGTTATAACAATCTCCTCCCCCACTTTCCTGCTCTATTTGTCTATGAGACTGTTTTTGGTTCTGAGCTTCTGTTGTCGGTATCCCAGTAGGTCATCTATCAATCTAACAAGCTAGATTGTTGAGCCCTGCCTTCCTGATATACGTCACAAGACTTGGGGTTGGTTTTTTTTTTTTTGCCCAGGGATTAGTCAAGCTGCTTTTGGAAACGCCCTCAGCTGCACCTTGTGCTGCTATATTAGTATTTACTGAGCTGAAAAATTCTTTTCATTGCTGCAGCTGTGCTTTTCACAAGCCAAGAGGTGAATTGTAAACAGAGGTATTGTTTTCAAGTTAATACTAATGAATTAGTTTTGTGCTGTTTTTTATCGTTATCTGATAGCTTGTCTTAAATTCTGAATACTATGCAGGAGAGTTCTGTGTTCCTTAACAAAGGAACAATTCATATGTGTTAAGTAGGGTTTATATCCTAGAAAGAATAAGCACTGTAGGGTTGCAAGCTAACTTTGTGCTCCAATATAAATTTCCTGGAAATAAACCCTATTAAGGGAAGTATATATTTGTTTCTGAGTAAACATACATAAGACTGTTCTGGTAGTGTTTGAAAAAGGGTGAACTATTGAAATATTTATAAAACTCATATAATTGGAGCTATTCAGATAAACCTATATACCATGTTTATACAGACTAATTCTGAAGATTGGATAATATAGCAGACCATTTCCTAAGCCATTCGCTTGATTTTTGTTGGCAGCCTGTATGCAAGCCCTGCATCTCTGGAGTCTGCTTGTCATCTGTGCAGTTGCAGTAGGAAAAGATCAAGAACCGAAGAAGCAAAGGTGCCTTAAAGTCAGCGCACAGGTACCTACTTTAAAAAAAAAAATGAAGAAAAATTCTGACAAGCTTCTTATCCTAAAATTACTAGACTTCGGCATATTCTTGTATGCATGGCAGATGCAAAGTTCAACAGAGTTGCAAATCTAGAGGGTTTAGTTTCATCAGATAATATGCTAAACAATTCTTTTAAATGTGAGAATTTTCTTTAGAAAAATTCAAAACATTTAGCAAGCATCTTTCTCTTTAGTATAAATGCATCCTTTTATTCAATAATAATATCTACAGTATAAAATCCATCCAATTTTGTTTAGATTAGTTTGCGCTCATGGACTTTACAAATGAATCTGAACTATATTTCATCCATTGCATCATAACAGCGGTTTAAAAAAATGAGATATATCTTTTATGTGTATGATTGGCAAATTAATATTTATCCTATTTTAAGATCTTGGAACTGCATTCTTCTCCCAAAAATAATTTTATTTGTTAACAAATATAAAAAAATTAAAGAACAATTCTGAATATAATCTAGAACATAAATTTTGCAGGTTTATTATCAAGCCTTATGAAAGCTAACTGGATGGTTACATTACTTTTTTTTTCCTTTGCCAATCTATGGTTTAGTGTAAAAATGGAACTATGTTAAAATTATAGATCAGGGGTGTCAAACTCGCAACATCACATGATGTGTCGTGACGTATCGCGACTTTTTTTCCATTGCCGGTAATGGGGTGGGCGCAGTTTCGGCATGACGCATCCGGCCCATGGGCGGGCAGTTTGACATACCTGTTATAGATATTTCATAGTGGTTTTGTAGCTGGAAAGATATTCTTAAATGAGATATTTATTATATTTAAATTTCATTGAAGGAAATTTAATCTTTTAATAGTTTTTGTTATTAGTTTAAATAAACATGAAACTTGTATTTGATCAATTTGAAAGCTGAGTAGATCTGAGATTTCAGTTCTGATCATATTTCCTTAAAGATGGAAATATAATCTGAAAGTTAAATACGCTTAGAAAGTAAAGTAAATTTCTGTGTGATTATTACCATGGTTTCCAATATTTTATCCCAGGTCTGGAATAATTGAAATTTAAAGAGCATACTAGGGCAAGAAATTGAATAAAAGCCATTTACCTTTGTAACGTTTTATTTTTAAGCCATTGAAAAATGTCTATATGGCAGCTACTACAAGCTGATATCTATTTGAATATTGAGAGTGCAGAGTGGGAAAGGTGTGGTAAAAATCAAATAAATAAGATGGTTCAGCAGTTCTTAGAAGTATGAAAAAAGTCATCATTTATTCCATACTCTTTTCCTAATCTGCTCCTCCTCGATAATTTGTCAGTAGTTTCTCAAACAAGTTAACAATTTCAGCAAAAACATAATGCACTAACCTACTTTTTCATGTGAACATGTGGTTTTACTACCTAAAAAACATAGTTTTCTTATATAAATGCATGGTATTTTCTAAGTGACTTAGGAAACTTATTATTTTAAATTTGTACCTTTCTATCTAATTCTACCACTCTTGTAGCAATTAATAAAGTAATTCAGGAAGTTGTAATGATAGAATAAATTCTATGTTTCTGTTAGCAAACTCTAGAAATTAAGATTCTGGGAATTTGGGGAAATAAAGTAAAACCTTGTCCCTTCAACAAATGATATTCTCTGCTCTATGTTAGTGTTTGACAATTATTGCTACATTAACAATTAGATTATATTTAAGAGTTAGCAATACTAGGATCACATACTTGTTTCAAATTTACCATTTCCTATGTATTTTCCTATCAGTTTGGATTATTGATAGAAAAATGAGGTGAAGATAGGGAAATGCAGTGATTTAATGAACTGTATATAGATTACATCTCCAAATCAATCAGAAGTATTATTAACCATTGAAGTCAATGATTCAGTAACCACAAAAGTAGGAAAAACCAATATACTGAAATAATTGTTATAAGCAATTTACTGAACAGAAAACATTAATTCATCTTACCGTTTAGAAATATAGGACAACTGAACCTTTCCAGAAAAATACTTTACCTAATAATGTACTATTGTATTATTCCATTAAGATAAATAATGTTTTAAAAAGATATATTTTATGACAATGTAGTCTACTGACTACTGTAAATCAATTAAATCAATATAGGGAGACAAAGTTTTATAGATTACTTTTATGAGAATCAGTTAAAATAAGTTCTTTTCCATGTATTTATGCCAGAGGGGAAATTATTTAAGGACAGAGAATTTTGAAAATACTTAGGCATTTGGATGTTTATCTATTAAGAGAATTCAAAAAATTAGTATCATAAACCTTGTTTATCTTTCTTAAAACTGTATGCTATGTTATTTTTAGAAAGACACCACTGAAAGGTTATGCATTTTCTGTGCTAAAGCTTTCATTGGGTTCTGCCAATGCACATGTTTCTCCCATCTCATTCTAATTTGTTTTTACACTACACTGTTTTATATAAATGCTACTTAGATTATTTCATAATTGTGGCTCTAAACAACAAGTGTGCTTTTTATCTATTATTTTTGAAAAGCAGTAATAAAAATAAAATGCCAGAGTAAGCCTGCATGAATATTCAGGAATAACACTAATATTGTATTTTTATGAATATTTTTATAGGATGTTAAATCGTAACAGATGCAAATATAAACCATCATATAGATTTCTTATAGACTTTTTATAATGTATCCATAATCTAAATAAATTTCTACTATTACATAATTTTAAAGTTCTTAAATCTTCTAAAAAGATTTTTCAAGCAATACAGAGCTGATCCTTTGGAACTACATATCTATTTTTCCTACATGCAGCAAAGCAGGAATGACTACAGCTAGCTATACCTATGTCAGTAGATATTTCTAAACTTAATCATAGCTATGCACATGTCTAGGACTACAAATTTAATAAACCAATTAATTGTTGGATAAGCAAGAAGTATGTCATTCTTCCTCAAAGGATATTCCTATCATGCCATTATAGCATTATGTATGTTCTTATTCAGCAATAATGTGACTGTTGATGATCTAATTGTTTGTCACTCCTATTTGAAGCAAATAATAGAGATGTGCACTTTTCTTGGAAGACCTGCTTGAAGCATAGGATTTTGAATTCTTTCTTTTTGACTTACTGATTTTCTCTCATGTTATTTGTTAGGTATGTAGTATAATATAGTATTTATTGTGTGTACTATAAATAAATGGTATATTTATGGTATATATAGAGAACTATGAATGAAATTCAGGAAGATGTGAATATTTGGACTTGTACTCATACTCATAATAAATCAGAATTGAAGCCAAATATCAATAGTAATCTTATGTTTGTAAATATTTTTATATTTAAAATTGCTATGTGAAATTATATTATTGATATATCTGCATACACCATTTTGGTAACATCAGTACCAACATTATTTTTGATATCTTCAGAAATTTTAATATATTTATAACTACCCCATCTGTTCTGTAAAAGATAGGTTGACTGTATAATTTATGCCTATGTTGAATCAATATGTCCTCTACTTTTCCTTTTTGAAAGTAGTTTAATTTTTACATTCTTTACTATGATAGCATTTTTCCTTATTTTTACTTATCTTGATAAATTTTTATGTGTAAAAATTAATACCCATTTTTTTTTTACTTTTTTCAGATGCCAGAATTTCAGAAGAAAACTGTCCATATCAAAGATCCAGAAAGGGTAGAAGAAATTATCTGTGGTCTCATCAAAGGAGGAGCTGCCAAACTTCAAGTAAAGAGCAAACATTATTATAAAAATTAAGAACATAAAATGCTAATTGGTTTCATCATAGACCAGATCAGCTGTTTTCCTGTTTCAGTTTGAAGCCCAGTATGAAGCAGGATTATATTTACTAAGTAAACTATCATGTATAAACCATGATAGTTTACTTAGTATGTAAGTTTTGCTCTGACTCTCCAACAAAGTATCAGTGAGTACATTATATCTAATGACACTCCTTTATTTCTGTCATTCATGCTGTGCTTGATGTATGTATGTATATATACATACACAAATTGTGTGTGTGTGTGTGTGTGTAGAGAGAGAGAGAGAGAGAATAAAACTATGATGTACAGTAACTGACCCTGAGAGAGATGATTCCATTTATATCTGAATTTATATCAGTGAGTCAGTTTATGTCTTTGGTGTAATTATAGAATTGCAGTAAAGGACACACATTTTTAGTAGCTTGATAAATCTCCAAATGAACAAACAGGTCATTAATTGTGAATGAAACTGAAATTAAAAATGTAGGCTGCATCTAGAGTTCTTTTAAGTTAAAAAGTTGGTTAGTAATAAATACATACTTCTATAAATTAAATTAAATATTTACATTTTTACCTTTTAACTATATTTTGAAAAGTCTTCCTTGGTTTATTTGTAGGCATCATTGTTATGCAGGACAGTGTACTTAGAAATTCCTTTACTTCAATCATACAAAGAGATTACTTCTATATGCCTCTGCAAGGCTTTCTGTCTAATTTACTCTATTTTTTAAATTAGTTTGGAAAGCAAAAAAAATTCCTCATTTCTGTTTTCAAGGATGACTCTGAGATCCACATAAGGTGAAAAGGCATTTTTGGAAAATAAAATAGTAAGTGGCTAGAGTCAGATGCTTAAGTGGAAAGTATGCCTACTTCCAAGAAATAAGATAGAGTGGGGGCCTAATAGGGATTATAGGTAGCAACTTCACAAAATTGTCTTCTGGAAAATGGTTTTTTTTTATTTGCCATGCCTTCACGGTAAAAAAGATTAAGGAATCCTAAATTCAGCTTTACACCAAGATTTACACATCATAGTGGCTGGTTCATATGGATACTAAATAAATCCAGTCAAATGTGTTATGGCTTAATATCATGGTTCTGGTTTTTAAAATAACTCTTAAAGAACTAATATAAAAGACCTTCTTGGTTTAGCTGAGATGGTGATTGTATAATAAGCATATATATTTTAGTAGTTTGTATGTTGTTCCAAGAGACAAGCTAGTGATTAAGGCAGCAGTCTAGAAACTAAAAGACTGTAAGTTCAAGTCCCACCTTGGCATAAAGCAGTGGTTCTCAACCTTCCTAATGCCGCAACCCTTTAATACAGTTCCTCATGTTGTGGTGACCCCCAACCATAAAGTTATTTTCGTTGCTACTTCATAACTGTAATTTTGCTACTGTTATGAATAGTAATGTAAATATCTGATATGCAAGGGTGTATTTTCATTGTTACGAATTGAACATAATTAAAGCATAGTGATTAATCACAAAAACAATATAGCAATGCTCGCTGGAGAAGCTTATTCTTCCTTGCTCAAAAATGTTGGGAGGGAGGGAAGGGGAAGGAAGATTGAAGGGGAAAGGAAGGAGATGGAGAAGGAAGGAGATTGAAGGGGAAAGGAAGGAAGGAGAAAGAGATTGAAGTGGAAGGGATGGAGATGGAAGGAAAGAAGATTGAAGGGGAAAGGAAGGAGATGGATAAGGAAAGAGATTGAAGGGGAAAGGAAGGAAGGAAGATTGAAGGGGGAAGGAAGGAAGGAAGATTGAAGGGGAAAGGAAGGAGATGGAGAAGGAAGGAGATTGAAGGAGGAAGGAAAGAAGGAAGGAAGGAAGGAGAGAGATTGAACGGGAAGGGATAGAGATGGAGATGGAAAGAAGGAAGGATGGAAGATTGAAGGGGAAAGGAAGGAGATGGAGAAGGAAGGAGATTGAGGTGGAAAGGAAGGAAGGAAGGAGAAATTGAAGGGGAAGGGAAGTGGATGGATGGATGGATGGATGGAAGGAAGGAAGGAAGGAAGGAAGGAAGGAAGGATGGATTGATCTTTGGAGAGTCATGTTTTTCCAGATGGTGATGAACTGCAACTCCCAGCATTCCCCACTCTTCCACAGTGCTTTTTAGGGCTGCTGGGGATGGTAGTCCAGTAAGGTCTGTAGACACACACAGATGCTCTCCGACGGCAAGAGAGGCAGACCAGGCGGCGCGGGGATGCTCCGGCGCAGAGGGTGGCCGGGGGCGGAGCGCAGCCGGGCAACCAGGAGGCGTGGGGATCAAATCGGTGCCTCAGCTCAGCCAGCAGCAGCAGCAGCGCATTGCCCAAGCAAGCAGCAGCAGCGCGTTGCCCGAGCAGGGCGGGAAGAGAGGGGGTGGTGGTGGCAAGTCATGAAAACAGCGTCCACACGTTCAGGGAGCAAACGCCTTGGACAGTTTGGCTCCCCCACCCCTTTATTTACTGATCTGCCACAAGCTCGTGCAAACAAGCCCCGAGGAGTTCTGAACGAGCAGTCGTTTAAAAAAAAAAAGCTTTCAGCAACGAGGCAGAAAGGGGAACTCGCTCACAGCTCTTTTTTTCCCCTTTCTCGGAGACTGGGAAGGCAGCAGCCAGAGACGCCGCTGCACAAAGGGAGGCGGAGAGAGGGGCGAGGGGGAAAACCTCACTCAACTTTCGCCCTTATCAGACCCGGCTCCCTTCTTGTCGACACCCACCCACCCGCCCCCTTCACCTCCCGCTACAGATTGACGCTACCCCTCNGCCAGGCTTTTTTTTTTTTTTTACCTTGGCCCTGCGCTTCTCCCAGACGGAAGCGAGGCAAGAGGACCTGAAAGACACCGAGCAGGAGGTTCATAGCCGTGGCGACGCGGCAGTAGCTGCTCTGCGATGGGTAGCGCAGCCCCGCCATGCTGCTGAGGCAGCTGCTTTCCTGTCTGCCTGAGCTGGCTGGCGGAGCTAGCCTTGAGCAGAAATTCTCACTAGTGTCTCGTTTCCTAAGACCATCGGAAATATGTGTTTTCCGATGGTCTTAGGCGACCCCTGTGAAAGCGTCGTTCGACCCCCAAAAGGGTCACGACCCACAGGTTGAGAACCGCTGGCATAAAGCCAACTGAGTGATCTCTCAGCCCTAGGAAGAAGGCAGTGTTAAAACCACTTCCAAAATCCTTGCCAAGAGAACTATAGGGACTTGTCCACATAAATGCAAGAAATCAACAATCACAAAGGCACACACAGATGTTTTACCTGTCATCTGATCTTAAATCTTCAAAATATTAATATTAAAAATTGAATAAAATAATATAAACATGACAGTGGAACAATATAATCAATAGTATCCCAAATACAAGGAACAACAATAATTCAGGAGACTAAGATGCCAGACAAATCTTAATGCATTCTTTGACCAACTGACAAAATTAGTGGACCAGAGGAATGCTATGGATATAATTTACTTGGACTTCAGTAAGGCATTTGATAAAGTACATCACAACCTACTACTTGATAAGATAGAAAAATGTGGGTTAGACAGCATCAACACCAGATGGATTCGTAGCTGGCTGACCAGCTGTACTCAGCGTGTGGTCCTCAATGGAACTGCATCTACATGGAGGGAAGTGTGTAGTGGGGTGCCCCAGGGCTCTGTTCTAAGCCCAGTGCTCTTCAACATCCTCATCAATGATTTGGACAAGGGAATAGATGGGGAACTCATCAAATTTGCAGACGACACCAAGCTGGCAGGAATAGCCAACACTCCAGAAGATAGGCTTAAGGTACAGGAGGATCTGGACAGACTTGAATATTGGATGCTATCTAACAAAATGAAATTCAATGGTGAAAAAAGTAAGGTTCTACATTTAGGCAAGAAAAACCAAATGTACAGGTATAGTATAGGGGGTACCTTGCTCAATAGTAGTAATTGTGAGAGGGATCTCGTAGTCCTAGTGGACAATCACTTAAATATGAGCCAGCAGTGTGCTGCAGCTCCCAAAAAGGCCAACACAGTGCTAGTCTGCATTAACAGAGGGATAGAATCAAGATCACATGAAGTATTAATACCACTTTACAATGCCTTAGTAAGGCCACACTTGGAATACTGCATCCAGTTTTGGTCACCACGATGTAAAAAAGATGTTGAGATTCTAGAAAGAGTACAGAGAAGAGCAACAAAGATGATTAAGGGACTGGAGGCTAAAACATATAAGGAACGGTTGCTGGAATTGGGTATGTCTAGTTTAACGAAGAGAGGGACGAGCGGGGACATGATAGCAGTGTTCCAATATCTCAGGGGCTGCCACAAAGAAGAGGGAGTCAGGCTATTCTCCAAAGCGTCTGAAGGCAGGACAAGAAGCAACGGGTGGAAACTAACCAAAGAGAGAAGCAACCTAGAACTAAGGAGAAACTTCCTGACAGTTAGAACAATTAACCAGTGGAACAACCTGCCTTCAGAAGCGGTGAATGCTCCAACACTGGAAGTTTTTAAGAAGAAACTGGACAGCCATTTGTCTGTAATGGTATAGGTCAGGGTTTCCTGCCTGAGCAGTGGGTTGGACTAGATGACCTCCAAGGTTCCGTCCAACTGTATTATGATGATGATGATGATGATGATGATGATGATGATGATGATAGCCCCCACCCCATCCCCAATCACTGAAGGCATCCTGCTTAATAATTTTATAAATGACCGACAGGGCTGGGTCCTGTCTAAAAACAGGAATACTACAGTATTAAAAGTGGCTTTAAAAGTGTTACTATTTCTTATAGACCTTTCAGTTTTGCAATAAAAAGTTCTAATATAGGATGTTGATCACAGAATGGCAGAGTCATCTATAGCTAGCCATGATGATGCCAAAATAATATAAATTGTGCTGTCATCTAACAGTGCAGGCTCCACCTTTTCAAACATGCATTGTGAAGTTTCATGCCAATGTTAAGGAGCATAATTTCCACTATGACATTGTAAGAATCATTTCTTCTCCCTTGATGACCTCAGCCCTTGGTGCTCTTGTAGAGTTGTCATAACTTTGTATTTTATCACACTATCTCTGAAAGTAACAAAGATACAGCTATTGTTAAAAGTCAGATTTTAAGGGAGTAAATTTTTAAAATACAAGTTTTGATTAATATAAAATTTGATTTATTTCAAGTTCTCTTACATCTTAATTTACCTACAAAATTCATCTCAAATTTTTGGATAGAAATAAAAGAATTCTTTATTTCGTCTCTTTTTTTTATTGAAAATGTTTTATAAAAATTGGCAATGTTCCAAATATAAAGATATGGCCACATTTATTGGTAAAACAGTTATGAGGTTTGAATACTTTATTAATCTAAGAGTGATTAGACCATATTCTTAATTTAAAAAAAACATTTACAGATCCTTAGGAATAAGTGAAAGGTCTTCAAATTTTAATATTGAAAGAGAAAATTAAAATTGAATTTACTGCAGTGGAAACTTACTGAGTGGAGAAACAAGTTTATTAAAGAAACTACAATGGATGGGAACTCGGAATGGATAGCATAAAGGGAGGATGTAAGAGGAGATAACTAGCAAAACAGGAAAGAACCTATTTTTCTAAGAAGTCATAAAAAGGGGGGGGCAGAATTCAGACAACTGAGCATGTGCAATTAGTTCATTAATATTAACTAACACACCTTCCATAAATTATCTCCTAATTTTAATATACATGTGATGTATGATTTAGTATGTAGCAGGAAATATGTAGGAGGCGGTCAGAAAGTATAACCTCATAGTACGTCAGCCAATGAGGAAAGAGGAGGGATGTGGGTTGAAACTTTGGAGAGAGTTTTGATAGCTTCTCTCCCCGCTTATTGCAATAAACGAAACAAAAGGCCTTCACTGTGTCTTGGCTGGTTATTGGTCACGAAGGAAAGTAGCCAGAAGCACATAACACTTAAATAGTGAAAGGAAAAGTTGGTTAGGCACTTTTAGAGTTTTAGAAAAGCCTAATTAATCCCCAAAAAGTCACTCCCCCTCCCTAAGAATTGCTAAAAAACATTATTCCAAAACATGAACAAACAAGACTATTAAACATTTCCATATAGTATTGCTTTCCAATAAATCAATTCTCCAAAATAAATAATAAGAAAACAGTTTCATACCAAGCAGTGAATCAGACTGGACAGTCTTCAGATCATACAAGATCATATCCAAGGTTTCCCAAAACTCTTCCTTGGATATTTTGTGCAAATCCTTAATTTGCTAAAATATTACTGCAATAACATTACTGCCACAATGCAATTTTTATTCAACTAACCACAGCCCAGCATTAAATCTGAATTCTAAACTATTAGTCTTAATTAAGATTTTCTAAAACACCAGGTTCCTTAACAGTTTGCTGATTTTAGGAAACTACAATTAATGCTGATCCCAGTTCACCATGGCTCAAATATTACTCGAAATGTGGCAAATTAAAAACTGAAAGAAAAGCTTCAATGCATTTAAAATTAAATGAGAGTACAGCCTATAAGTACCTACTGATTTTCCTTTTTGATTTTACCTTTCAAATATTTAGTTTTATTTTGCATTCATGATACATTTCTTTATATACTCTTTACAGATAATTACAGACTTTGATATGACGTTAAGTAGGTTTTCCCATAATGGCAAAAGATGTCCAACATGTCATAGTGAGTATTATAGATTGCTTGTAAAAAACTTTCATATTTCTCATGAAACTCAAGAAAACTTATGACTGAAAACACATAGAAGAAAAAACCTTTGTTTTTCCTTCTAGCACAGTATTTAGTCTAGCTGTGATATGTTACATTTTAAGTATTGTTTTATGTTTAACACCATTGTATTCTTCCAGATTCCCTGCAGTGGATTATAGTATAAATAATCTCATTTTAATAAGGACATTGGATTTAGGGAAAGATTGCAGTCAAAGATAATTTCCTTTCATCAATCTGAGTATTTTATGTAGGCTAACACTTGAATGCCATTATTTTTAAAATAACTTTTAACCAATAGTAATGTTAAAATTAGAGATTTGCCTTATTTTAAGTGAGTTATAAATATTCTACTAATAGATGGGTAAATTAAAATTTTGCATTGTTTGATTTGCACATACTCATTTCTCAAACCTTTTTGAACATTTTCTAGATATCATTGACAACTGTAAACTCATTACAGAGGAATGTCGCAAAAAGGTAATTTAAAACTGATGTTTGTTTTCTCTATTCATTATCAATTTCTGCTATTATGAAAGGTTCTATTATTTATTTTATACTCTGCATAGAATTGGCATGAAGTACAGGTAAATCCTCAACTTACACCATTTGTTCAGTAACCATTTAGTAACAGAAATTCCAGTCCCAATAGCCATTGTAAATCAAGAATTCCCTGTATACTTCTGAGTTAAGATCACTTGCTGTTTTTTTGTATGTATGTGTCTATCTGTTCATACATGTCCTAAGTCAGTGGTGGTGAATCTATGGCACGCGTGCCAGAGGCAGCACTCGGAGCCCTCTCTGTGGGGCACGCGTGCCATTGCCCCAGCCCCGCCTTCCCCCGCAGCCCTCTCCTCACCAGCAGCCCCCCTGGAGGAGAGTCGCTCTCGGGCATGGCCCACACGGAGCAGCACAGCCAAGTACATAGCCGGGCAACAGGGACAAGACTCCACCCTCGCACTCCATAGCGTGCAGATGATGCTGAGGGGTGTGGGCAGAGGGCGTGGCTGCCAATGGCGCTGCAGGGCTGCCTGGGCGATCTGCAGCAGGCCACGGACGTGGTGAGTGGCCCTGCTGGTGGGTGGGGCAGGGGGCGGGTGGGGGCGGAGCATGCAGGGCGGGAGGCGGAGCAGGGGCGGGGGGCGGTTTTTGGGCACTCGGTATCTAAAAGGTTCGCCATGACTGTCCTAAATGAATATTGTATATAATCTTCTTATTTAAGATACTAGGGATATATATCAAAACTAAGGAAGCAGTTTAGTTTATGCAGTTAGAAAAAAGAGATACTACAGAAATAAATAGTAACTAACTGTTTTGCTTTCTAGTTATTCCAGCTAAAAGAAATATATTATGCTATTGAAATTGATCCTGGTCTTACAGTGGAAGAGAAGTATCCATATATGGTTGAATGGTGAGTTTGTGAAAAGTGACTTGTTTACTGTTAAAGTTTAAAGTTTACATCTGAACAATTAAGCAATTGTTGATAAGAGCACCCATTTATTGTGTCTTAATAAACCACATGACCCATTTTAAATCCACCATTTGTGCACTTAAAACAAGTTTGTCAAGAAATTAAAATTATTGCTTTAAGTTACTGCCTCTTAGCTCTTTCTTGCATTTTTTAAGTAACAGTTTCATTGGTGTCCTCCAATTATCCAAATGGATTTTGAAAACGTATAATGCTATCCGACATAATTTTATATATACAGCATTTGTGAAAAATAAATATGTAAGATTCAGTTTTTGAGAAGTAAAATCACCTTCCAAATATAATGGGTAGAATAATTTTTCCCCCCGCATATATTTCAACCTTAGATCGCATCAGCCCCAGACAGCATGTCCAATAACAAGGAATGGTAGAACATCTGCTAGAGATCAGGCTAATCCATTATTGTCTCTCTTTTTTGATTGTCCATTTGATTGGTTTATCTTAAACGGTTATTATTGCACCAGTTATAAAGATTGCCAAATAACATGTTGAAAATCTATTGAAAAATAGATCAGGTCTATTTATACTATTTTTTTAATGGACAAAAAGCCCTAAGGAAGACTCCATTTGATGTAGGAGTTAAGGAACTAGATTAGAAATTGAGAGACCTTGAGTTACAGCTTCATCTTAAGGCATAAAACCAGTTGTGTGACTTTCTGGCAGTCACTCTTTTTGAGCCTTGGAAAGAAAGCAATGGCAAGCTGCTTTTGAAAATCTGGCCAAGAAAATGACATCAACTAATCCAGACAGTCACCAGGAGTCAAGACTGATTCAAAGGTGCATGTGAGTGCGCGCGCGCACACACACACACACACACACACACACAGAGACACACAGAGAGAAAAATATTCTGTCTACAAGGAAAAAAAGGTTTAATATTTTATTTTTAACTTTAGGTACAACAAATCCCATGCTTTGCTTATTGAACAAGAATTACAGAAGGACAAACTTGCTGAAATTGTGAGAGAGTCTGATGTTATGCTGAAGTAAGCATCTATTTTTGTAGTCCTAAAACACATAAGAAATCAAAAATAGTGTGAAATGTTATATGTTCATGTATGCTCCAATGTGGACTTACTCTTGCACTTAGTGGTGATGAGTAAAGTGCTTCAATTTGATTGCCTCTCCCACTGTAACTCTTGTATAGCACATATTGCCTCTCCCACTGTAACTCTTGTATAGCTTCTTACTATGTCAGAACACTAAAAATGTTCCATATCACAGTGGTTGCATTATTTATTTGTTATGTTTTATGATAAATGAGGATTTGGCTATATTTGGAAATAATGCTTTATGTGAATCAAATACTTTCTGCTTGCTCATTCACCTTTTACAGTAATGTAATATAGAAGATTCTATTTCTTCAAAGTTTAATTTTAGCTTGTATAGCAGTCATGATCCGAAAGTCATGATTACTAACCATTACTGATCTAATAGTAATATTGCATCTAAAACAAAGTCTTTGAAATATTTCTTTTTCTTTAATTGGGGTATATAATAATTTGACTCTTTTTTTTTTTTACCGTACTTCAACAAGATTGTAGCTATGCTCTTTCTAAGTGCTGCCCTATTATTTCATGTACTCAGATTCAAGGAATAGGAAAGCAGATACATCACAAGGTGTTTTTTTTCTGTTCTGCTTTATCTCTATAAGCAAGGCCTACAAGATGCCTTCAGGGTTCCTAGGATTCCTGTTTCATTCTTTTCAAAGGCAGGGTTTTTTTTCCTTGTCACTTATATACCAAAATAAATATAGGTATCTGTACAAACAGAAGTCACACTAGAATTATCAGACAAAAGCAAATTTCTCAACTAGTTTCCAGAATAATCCATAGGGCATTTCATTTAAAAATAAAACATTCTTAAAATATTGAAGCCTGGGCTTCATAAATAATAGGATGCCAGTTACTACAGCTGTTTATTCTGAAACTGAGAATAGGAGTTATTCAGTTCTTATTTCAGCAAAAAAACCCAAAAAACTGTCAGATTTTAATTCAGTTTTTTTCACAAATAACTATTCTATTTTACAGAGAGGGGTATGAATTTTTTTTTGACAAACTTCATGAACATAATGTTCCAGTATTTATATTTTCTGCTGGGATTGGAGACATACTGGAACAGATTATTCATCAAGCAGGTGTTTACCATTCCAATATCAAAGTAGTTTCCAACTTTATGGATTTTGATGATAACGTGAGTATGCAATTGTAGATTACATTATCATTTACTAAAGTATATAAGAATCTTTCAGTCCATATAAAAATGTTACATACATATTTCTGATTTAGAGTTATAATGGATAGGGAGAGTAGTCTGCCCAGAAATTTTTACTTTGTGGAATGTCTTGGGACTCTCTGCTCTCACTCAGTTTTAATGTCTTCCTGAAAACAGAGTTGAACTCTCCTGTTCAAACATGTCTTGCCGTGTGGAAGTAACCTAGACACAGAGCTCCTGCTTGTTTAGCATATAAAAACTCTGGTCTAGACCAGAGGGCTATTATACAGTTATTTTTTTTAACCAATTGCAGCCATTCTTGACTTTGGAGGCTCTACTTACATTTTTTTTTTTGTTTATTTATTTATTTATTTATTTATTTATATCCCACCTTTATTATTTTTACAAATAACTCAAAGTGGCAAACATATCCAATCCACCTTCCTCCTCCTATTTTCCCTACAATCACAACCCTGTGAGGTGGGTTTGGGCTGAGAGAGAGTGATTGCCCCAAGGATACCCAGCTGACTTTCATGATTAAGGTGGGGCTTGAACTTGAACTCTTCCACTTTTTAGCCTGGTTCCTTAATCACCAGACCAAACTGACTTTCATGTATCCATTCCTTTTTCTTATCTGCCACCTTGATTATTGCAAAGTGCTCTACATGGGATTGCCTTGGAAACTACAGCTGGATACAAAATCTGGTAGCCTTCACATTAATGGATATATGTCATCTTCAGGATAGACCAGATCAAGAAACAGACTCCATAGGACCACCAGAACTATAAGACAAACTATAATAACAAAATTTTGCAAATCTGCTTGGTTTTCTTCCCTTCTGTCAGGTGCAAGTAACCAGAAAGAAGAGTTTAGTTCAAAGCACTTCAAGTTTATTTCATGTTACCTATGCACAAGAATCTGATCTACTAACAGTCAAGGCAAATTGATCCTAGATAAGAGTCAATGGAATTCAAGAGGGGCTGGACTTAGGTAGTGATTCCAAACTGATGATACATTTAACCTCACCCATGAGCTCAGCCTGGTCATCTGAGGAGGGGGAGGGGAGTATCTATTTGTAACACTAGATTTCAGACATGTTTAGTGTGTGTTTTACCTGATGTTTTCCTAGTATCCTTTAGATTCTCTTCTCCTAGGTCAGACACGTTAAACTCGCAACGTCACATGACGTCGCACGACGTATCGGAACTTTTTCCCCATTGCCGGCAATGGGGTGGGGGTGGTTTCCTTGTGATGCATCTGGCCCACGGGCCGGCAGTTTGACATCCCTGTCCTGGGTTATTTCCATAATTCCTTAGAATATATCCTTACATCCTCAGGTGACCTCATTTCTTTGCCAATTCTATTCATTTCCAATTTGCTTTGAATGAGATACAATGAGGTTGTCATTTTAAGGACATCTATGATTCCAGATTAAGTTCTCTGAGGGATCTTCTTCTATATTATCTGCCTGTCCAAACAGATTGAATACTGTAATCAATTCATTCAAGATCCTATCTATATATGCATGCTGTTTGATGGGCTTTCGAAGTGTATATTTTTCTCACTGCTCCCATACTCTGAAATTATTATGGAAATCGAGTCTGCTCCTTCGTTTTTGGAGAGTGGTTAAGACCTATTTATTTCATCATGTGCAGGAAGAAGATATGTCACTGAAAATATGAATTTGAAATAGTTACATTCTTTAGATTTTTTAAATAAATATAATTATGGTATTGTATTTGATTTATTTTATGTCTAGGTATATTACTTTGAGGGGGGTTGCTCAGTTATGTTTCTGATCATTAATTATATAGAATCTTTGAGAACGTGCAACATACAAATAAATAAAATAGATAGCCATTATTTAGGCTTAAATAGAAGCATTTTATTCTCAATATTATATGCATGTAATGAAAATATGTTATAGTTGGTGGAAAGAGAAAATTGTCTTGGAAACATTCTAAAATTATATATGTTTGCCTGGTTACTTAGGAGTAACTTCTCTCATCTTCAATAGGGCATATTGAAAGGATTTAAAGGAGAATTAATTCATGTTTATAACAAACATAATGGGGCCTTGAAAAATACAGAGTACTTTAAACAATTAAAAGACAACAGCAATATCATATTACTTGGAGATTCTCAAGGAGACTTAACAATGGCAGATGGAGTGGCAAATGTTGAACATATTCTTAAGATTGGGTATCTCAATGATAAAGTAAGTGTGTAGGCGATTGATAAGCATAAACTCTATTGTAAAGTTCACGTTCTCCAGTTTTGTATACTATTTATAGGAATTATTTTTCAGTTACTTACCTACTTCTGAGCCAAGTTCAATGCATTTGCAGTTAGAGTTGAAAACAGAATTAAATATATGGCAAATAGAAAATACATTATGTGAGAATGGCTTGTTTCAATTTATTGCTTTGCACAATGGTAATGTTGAGTTACTTGTTGATGTTTTTCATGTGCTCTCTGCTAAAGTAAAAAGGTTTTAAAAAATAGTTTACTATTCAAAGATTCAGATTAGTAAGACCAAAGTGAAAAGTTGTCATGTTTGATTGTCATGCATATTTTGTTGAAAAAATATCTCCAAAGATATAGTCAAAATATACTAAATCTAATTGCAGCCTAGTAGGATGCCCCTATTTTCAATTAGGTAAATACCGGTAATTAAAATAATGCCATCTTCCAAGAGTCTTCAGACAACTCCCAGATCCTTACTTTGCCAGCAGCAGGTAATATTTATGTAGGAGGCCTTTAACAGTTTAGCTGGATTTTAAAAAAAGTAATCCTTGACATATGATCATTCATTTAGCAACTGTTTGAAGTTGTTATGGTGCTGAAAAAATGGACTTACGATTGATCCCTAAAGTTAGTTGTGCAGTGTCCCCGTAATCACATTGTCAAAATTCGAATGCTTGGAAATCCACCCACACTTCTGACTACAGGGGTGCTTTAACCCTTCCACACATCTGTCTTCCTCTCATCTATGTCCTTTTGGCTGTCCTGCACTGCAGCCCTTCTGAATAGAGGCCTGGGTCTTCAGCAATATCAGCCAGTTGCCACCAGCCCCAGGGGTCTACTTCAATTGCAACATTATCACTGCTGCTAAGATATGCACCTCAAGCCCCACCCTGTGACTAACCATCCCAGTACCATAGCATAAATCCCTTGATGGCTTCCATCATCCTATGCTCCTCAGAACTTGCCATACTCAGTTGACCACCCTCTTCCGTGGCTAATGAGGTGGATCCAGTTTGACCCTACTGTATGCAGGCAGTTGCAGGCCATACCATGCCTTCTCCCTGAGGCTGGGTCTTTGAACCTTTCTGGAAAATCGTTCACAAGTACTTCAGACAGCTGTTCTTTGTGAGGAGGCTGCAAGAAAATGGATCTAAAGCTTGGGGAAATGAGGGAATAGCCATTGTGCCCAAATTGCAGTCAGCATCTTTGAAAGGACATTACATTCACATATTTTTTCTAATCACCTTTGGAAATTATTTCTTAAGTTCTTTTTAGCTATTAGAAATCTTTGAATCAACAAGTTTGGCAACACTGAATAAATTTCCCTTCAATCCTTAATGAAAAAAAAACATTACGTTTAAGAACTTTTAAAAATGGAATAAACAACAAAAGGATGAATAAAAGTTGATTTAAAAAAAATTACAAACAGAGTAAGATCTAGATAAATTTGAAATAAGATTTGGGCTAAAGAATCTTTCATGTGGGAAAATGTTTTTGTTTTGATCTTTTTTAAAAGTAAGATTTTAAAAATTGGACACTAGACAGAACTAAAGATTACAGTTAAAGGAGAAATAAGCTCAGTTTACCATTATAGACTGTTACATTATTATTACAATTATAGTATGACAGGCTACAGGAACTTTATGGAAAACGATGTGACAGTATAAAAGAAACCAGCTCATGTTTTAATAGTTAAAAGGCATATGTAAACAATAAAACAAGAGAATGGTAAAAGAAGCTTATTAAAAAAAGTGAGAAGGAAAAGAAAAAGAATTCAAGTTCTATTTTTTGTCTAATTTAAAGAAGAGGAGTTGAATTATGTATATGAAATTAAAAGATCTTTTCACATCTTTTAAAAAGTGAAGGAAAAAATAGTGTGAAAAACCAAACTGTCATTTTAAAACGCTCTAGTTTAAAAAAATCTGTATTTCTCCTTAAAACACAATTATTTTATTAAAATGTAATGTACATGAAATTGTGGAAAGAACTTTTAATTGAACTCCCTTTCTTTAAATTAGACAAAATAAAATTATTTCTAAAGTTGGACTGAAATCTTACTACATTTCATTTAAAAAGAAAGAAAAAGTTAAAGTACAAATAATTTCAATGCTCTTTAATTTGTGGCTTTAGATTCTAATCGTGATCTAAACTAATAGAAGTATATTTATATTGTTACAGTTGACAAACAACAAAATGATATGATTGTTTAACTCAGGCTCAGTTTAATTTATATGTAAATGGTTCTGAAATTTTCTTAGCAAATTTCTTGCATTTGTGCGTGCCCCTTTCTGTCAATTTCATTTTACAGTAATTTTATTGAAGATACTTACAATAGTAAAAATACAAACTAAAAGAAAGAATAAAAAGTGAGAGTAGAAAGTACAGGAAAGAAATGGAAAAAAGAGAAGTAGAAATAAAAAATATACTGAAGAAAAGAAATATATAAAGAATGTCAATTTGGTTTTTCACACTATTTTTTTCTTCACATTTTAAAATCTAGGTTGAAGAACTGCTGGAAAAATATATGGAGTCCTATGATATTGTTTTGGTGAAAGATGACTCTCTGGATGTGGCCAACTCAATCCTGCAAAAAATTTTGTAATATACAGTATTAGCATTGTTTTCCTTTAAAAGAACCCATTGGACAAATTTGCATGACAGCTATGAAAACAATAATCAGATGCTGCTTTCCACACTATTTACCAGTTCATTTGGAAAGTACTGTATTCCTCATTATATTGCTCCATGCTATTGAAATATATTTCACTGTTTATTATCTCCCTATTTATTAATTTCAAAGGAAATATTGTTCATGATTATTGGAAAATATATCTTTATTTCTGCACAATAAAATTGATATTTTCAGCATTTTTGTGGAAATGTTATAGAAAATAAGGGAAACGTGTTGGGGGTGATAAAACAAATGATTTGATTAATAAATATCAAATCTTTTGAGGTTCAGTAGTACCAATTTGTGTAAATCACTACATTTTGATAAAGCTCACTGCTTTGTAGTAGAAAGTGCAGTTGAATCTAAACATTTTAAAGTCATGCTGGCTTAAACAAGGTTATGATGAAGCAGATATTTTAGAGTTTTACAGTACTGTTGTTACAAAAAAGTCATATTTAGTAGTACTGAAATTTGAAAGGCAATTCTACAGAAATATATTTCATTGCATTGTGCTATAAGTTAAACATGAATATCAAGTGCTAGAGTTCTCTTCATTACTTTTTCCCTTACACAAGCTTTCATGAAAACAAGTTTAAAAAGTGTTTTTATCTGAAAAAAAAGTTCATCTATAAATTTTTGGCAAACTCTTCCTTCTCTCTTTTAAAACTAGACAAAATATTATTGCTTTATTTTTTTCTTCAGGAAGATGTTAATTTTCCAGTTACAAGCCACAAAATTTTTCTCCTGTACTAGTCAGACCCTCAAATATTTCTCAGACATTCTTGATTGTCATCTAGCTTCTAAACAAATATCAGATGTGAATTTAGATGTGATAAGGACTGTTATAATGGTTGCTGGTTTACTCTTAGAGGATAAGTTTATCAATCCAAAGTTCACAAGCATAGTTTGCAGTTGAAATACATATAAATAGAATTTGTTGAAGAAAAAACAATCTAATTTCTTATGGAATTCCGTAATTTTGTTAGATGCCATCTGGAAGAGTGGAGAGGAAGAAAGGGAAAAGTGGAGCAGATAGGATATACTGCATGGGAGCTGCTATAGCCGTGATGGCGAAACTATGGCACGCGTGCCGCAGAGCCATCCCTATGGGCACACGCGCCATTGCCAGACAGAGGGACGCAGGGCCGGGCTCTTCCCCTCCTCCTTTCCACGCATGTGGAGTCCGGGAACAGCTGCGAGAGCTGGGCAGGGTGAGGGAACCTATAAAAGGAGCAGTTTTTGCGGGAGAGTGAATGAGCGGCCTTTAGAAGCGACCAGTGGTGGTTTTCAAATCATTTAACAACCGATTCTCTGCCTCGCCTTCCCTCCATCTTGGTCGGGCTGGGCTGCTCAGGGATCGGCTGAGGGTGGAGTAGGGTGGGGGTCATCAGGTCCCTGCTGGGAAAAGGTGAGGCGGACTGGCTAGGTGGGCGCAGGAGGGCGATCACGTAGGATTGCATAGAAGGGGCTGGGGGGGTGGCCGGCATGGGGGAATCAGAGCCGCCATCTCCTTTGCACAGTGCAGCCCCATTGGCGTGGGTGGAGACAGCCCCGGATGGCTGGAAAGGAGCCCTCACCTGTGCGGGTCCTGTGGCTCTGACGGGGGTGGTGGCTGCTGCTCCTGCTGCTCTGAGCCCCTTGATCAACCAACCACACAGGAAAGCAGGAGGCAGTAGTGGTGATCCCTGCATTGCCAAGCCCAGCCAGCAGCAGATCTGGAAGCGAAGCTGTGCCACCCATCCCTGCGCCGATGGGGCTCCATGGCCAGTTCACTATTATGCAAGACAGCCAGCATGCTGTGGCTGATGACGGACACCATCGCTCCCCATGCGCTCGCTGGCCTATGTGGGCACACTATCCACATTATGGCACTAAGAAATCCCACTAACCTGCCCAGAAAGGAAAATTTGTATTATTATTTTTTAGAACTAAAGCAGAATGGGAGAAAACAGAGAAGTTGCTGGACTGAAGAATAAGTTGGATTGATAATCTTCACATGGTCTCAGAATTAATTTATTGGAATTTCCAGAAGAAATACGTATAGCAGGAGCCCCATCGGCACGGGCGGAGACAGCCCCGGGACAGCTGGAAGGAAGCCCGGCCCATCCACTCGACGGCTCTGACGGGGGCAGCTTCTGCTGCTCCGACCGGTCAACCATGCAGGGAAGCAGGAGGGGCAGCTGGTACGCAAGATCGTTGCCTCGTCGGGCTGCCAGCAAGCAGCCGAGGCGACTCCAGACCCCTGGCTGCCCCTCCACCTCCTTCCCTGCATGGTTGACCAGTCGGAGCAGCAGCAGAAGCCACTTCCATCAGAGCCATCAAGTTGATGGGCCCAGGCCGGGCAAGGGCTTCCTTCCGGCTGTCCTGGGGCCATCTCCGCCCGCGCCAATGGGGTTCCGTGGCCAGTTCGCCATTATGCAGGACAGCCAGCATGCTGTGGCTGCTGATGGACACTGTCAGCCCCCATGCACTCACTGATCTCTGTGTGCGGGGGCTGATGGTGTCAGGCAGCAGCTGCTCTGGCCCCTTCCTCGCCTTACCCCACAGGACAAGCCTCCGGCCCACAGCCCCACCTGCCAGAGACCCCCTGGATCTCCCCCAATCCTGCCCGGCCCCCACAGGCAGCCCTCCCCATGAGCATCATCAAGTTGGTCACGCCATCGTCGGCCATGCCCACCCAGCACCCAGCAATAAATAAATAGGTTTTGGGTTGCAGTTTGGGCACTTGGTGTCTAAAAGATTCGCCATCACTATGCTATAGGGATGTGGTTATTATGTACATTAGATTTGCCCTGCATATCCCACTGAGAATCAGTTTGGTGTAATGGTTAAGGCATCAGGTTAGAACCAGGAGACTGTGAGTTCTAATCCTGCCTTATAAAGCCAGCTGGATAACTTTGGGCCAGTCACTTTCTCTCAACCCTAGGAAGGAAACAATGGCAAACCACTTCAGAAAAACCTTGCCAGGAAAATTGCAGGATCCTGTAGAAGTCCAAGAATCAGTCATGATTGCACAGGGGGGAAAAAAATACAAAGCAACACTGAAGACTCGGAAAATCTTATGAACAGTGAACTTATCCCATGCATTCCTTGATTCTAAAAGCTATTCCAGGTTTCCTTTTTAAAAAATTATGAGACCCAAACACTTCAGGAAAATTTTGAGAATGTAAGTATTTGCTTTCCATTCAATGCAAAGTGCTTTTCATTTTATGCACTACCCAAGTAAATTTGTTTGATTTCCTTTTTCTAAAAAGTTCAATAACAAACGAAGGATGCATCTCAATAGTATAACTCTGTTTCAATTATCCAAATTCAGGCAGCAACAAACTGTGATTGCTACTAATTTATAGCTGTAATTTCATACAATCCATAGATCTATTTATCACCCAAATATACTGATATATACGTATACTGGGACTGTGCAGCACTTCAGATTCCATATAGAAATGGTGCTTTGTAGAGCTCTGGGGCATGATTATATTACCACACTTCAATATCTTAGACCAGTGCTTCTGTACCCTGGCAACCCTAAATATGTGGACTTCAACTTCCCCAGCCAGCATCTGGGAGTTAAAGTCCACATATGTTAAGGTTAGTTGAGAAGCATTGTGTTACAGCAGTGGCACTTTTTCCTAAGTGGCTGTATATAATCACTTAATGATACCAAAGAAACAAAAAAATGTTTTAGATAATGACATGCAAGTCTTAAATTCATTCATATATGTCCTCTATATGTTTTTCAGATTGAACAACATAATGGACAGTTCTAACTAATTAGAAGCTATTTATACAATAACTTAGAGCAGACATGTCAAACTCACGACGTCATGTGACGTCGCGCAACATATCGGGCCGGTTTTGCCATTGCCGGCAATGGGGTGGGCGTGGCTTCCAGATGATGTGTCTGGCCCGCGGGCCAGCAGTTTGACACCCCTGACTTAGAGGTTTTTCTTCAGCTTTGTTTCCATCAGTCTGTGGATATGATCTGATGTCATACAATGTATCCCAATAACCTCTAATTATAGATATACAGGAAATCAAAGTACAAAAATTAACATCAATTATTTGCCTCTTCCCACTCATACATAAATAAAGCATCTTGTCCAGTGTCCTTGTCAGCATTTTATTTAATGATACCAGAATGTATTGCACTTGACAGAACGTGGTATTAGTGTTAATAGCATAGAAAACCCATGCAATTGTACTTGTTATAAAACTATTTCAAAAGGAGTGCTGTAAAATGAGCCCTTTTCTAAAATTATGGGTCCCATTATCCTGGGGAAGATACACATTTTCTACTAGTGTCATGGTAGTGGCCTTATGTTCTTCCCTTTAGTAACTTTTTATCCTAATTTGTTTATTATTTGACTTAATATATTTTATTGACAAAGCGTGAACTGAAATTCACTTCAAAATACTTTTGAAGAGTTGGATGGATTGACCATATTAAGTTACCCAGGTGCAATCAACACCTTCATGCACATTTTAATAATTCATTTTTATTTCTTTTTCCTAAAATATATAAAAGACAAACACGCATTTTTAATTATCCAATGAAATACTGAACCATTGATCAACAGCTTCATACAGTAGAAGCATGATTTATGCAACATTTATTGCATAGGTCATTCTTCTTTGCAGTGGAAAAGCGGAGCTTCATTGACACCCATCCTATTTTCACCAGATTTTGTTGAATTTATGTGTAAGGTTTTTTTTTATTTCTCTACTGCTGATAGCAGAGAACAGCCAATTTATTCCACACTATTTAAATCACGTGATTATTGCTTTGGTAAAAACAAAGCAGCTCTAGTCTTAAAAGTTCTAACTTTTCTCTACAAATAAACACAGAAGACTCTCAAATCAGTTGCTAATACTGTATAGTCATGATCTAAGCAGTAGTGTTAGTAACCTTATTTCAATGATTGCTGTGGAGGTGGCAACACGAGCAGAATGGGAATACTTCCAGAAAGCTATGGCTGGGTGCAAAACAAGCTAAGGCTGCAGGCTGCCTATATCCAGTTTAAAATGATAACAATTCATCATTTAGGAGGAAGGGAAGTAATTCATTACCAGAATAATTCAATTCTTAAGGAAGCATAAGATTCTAATGCCAATGCACCAAATACTGATTTTAAAAATGTACAGATTTCCAAATAATTTATCTTCATTTTTTTCAGGATCTATTCCCATTAACTGTTATAGTGTGGTATACCACCAAAAAGTAACAATCCAGGGCAAAAGGCATGGTTTTAATTAGTTTAGTTTGTACCTTGTATCGAATCTTCAAAAATGTGGGTTGAACTGTGGAATCTTTGATGCTCTCTGAGCTTGTTTGCTTGAGGACATTTCATTACCCAACTAGATAACATCATTAGTATTAGTGTGTGGAGGAAGGGTTTTTACTCCTGTTTATATACTGTCATTTGCCCTGTATCTCCATTAACACTGGCAGGGCAAGCTACTGCATATAATCGAAGAGAACACCCCCCCCCCAACAGTAATAACGTTACCTAGTTGGGTAATGAAATATCTGCAAGCAACAAAGTTTAAAGAGCAGCAAGGACTCCATTGTCCTACTTTCTGTGTAAACAGACAGGAGGGAGTCACAGACAATTTTGCATGTACTGTACACTTTTGCTTCTGGCCTTAGTAGATGGCCTTGATGATCTACTTGTTCCCCATTTCAACTAGAAATCACAATGGCTAATCTAAAAAAGATGTAAGACAGTACAATAAGAAAATTGGCAAGCATAAGTATTGCAGGCAAAAGTGTGCCAAAAATGCCATGAAGTCAAAGAAACATTTACCGCAGTGTAGAAAATGTCCTGAACAAATAAAAAGCATTTGCAGAAACTTAATAAGACAAGAAATTGATGAAGCCCCATTAACTCAAATAACGTGATCTCAAGTTTTTCCACATATTTTTGTTTCTGGAATAATGTTCAAGCTTAGGCCATTTTTTTAACCTCAAATCATGCAGCCCATTATAAATATTGAAAAAAATACACAAATGTGAATCATATTAATTTGCATATGAAAATGTTCCAGTTTTTTTCCAGAAAATTCACATCTCTGAAAAAAAGCTGAATATATCACTAGAGTGGGTTGTATATTTAAAAAAAACCGTTACAATGGTTTTAAGGCACCTTGCATTTTTAATATAAATGTCATAACAAAAAAAATCTTAATTTTACACCCTATTGTATTTTAATTAACACAAAGACATGTTCATTTCCACATCCTTTTTAAGTGTGCACAGGGATTTCAAATCATTTCTATGGTATATACACACTAACAGCAGTTTGGCTCATAATTTTTTTTAAAACCAACTAAGTTACAGTTCATCATGTCCCTGTGGCTCCTGGTCTTTCAGTTTGAATTCTTCAGAAGTAATCTTGCCATCTCCATTTCGGTCCTGATTGTTGAACATATTTTTCACAATTGTTTCAGAATTGTAACCAGGGGCTAGCTTTCCTTTGCCAGAGTTGACTTGGTCATGGATATATTTATTGAACTAGAATTTAAATGATGAATAAGAATAGGAAATAAAATGAGCTTTGGTATTGTAATTTAAAAGCTGCATATATCAGAATTCATTTCCATATTTCTGCATTTAATACTAAGACACAATAATAATGCTGGTTTACAGCTGGAGTTACCATGTTGATCTGACTCACTGAAATTAACGTAAGTTAGTCATTATTGAGCCTGCATCTAACCCTCTGTTTGATGAGCATGTGTGTCATCAAAGTGGTCTAAGTTGCAAAAGCTTTTGTGTTGATGTCTTTTGAGGTTTTTTATAGCCCAATGCCACACTATACAGAATTGATTTTACTCAAGTTCTTTTGAATCATGCTCATTGTATGACTGATTTCTCATCTTTGCAAAGAAGCTTGGTCTTTCCAATTTCAACTGCAAAATTTGCATGCAACTTTCTAATTGACATATCTGCTTACTTCCAGCAGCAATTTTGTTGGCATTATATTAGCATATTAAATCTTTAAAGCTGACATGAGAAAAATTCCCTCAATCCTAGTCAAGCTCATGAGGCTCCATTTGACAACATCTTTTTTCATGCCCTTTGCAAGAAATATTTTCCCCACTTTTGATGTTAACCAGCAGCATTATAAGAGCCGCTTATAAAAATAGATTTAAGGTAAGTACACACAGTAGTCCAGATTAAAAAAAAATTATCCTTTCTGGTTTTTTCCTGATCTTGGTTAGTGAATATAATTACTCACAATATGGAAGAAGGGCATTAACAGTATTGACCAGATTTCTCATAGCATTGCAAAACTGACACTGAAAAAAATCACTACCCTATCTTTTCTTCTTTACCGAATTATAGTATAGATAGTGTGCCAGGCTTAGTTCAAATTAAGTTAAAAAGGCATGGGAATGTTAATTTTTTCTAGTATATCAGTATGAATCGGAGTTTTCACAAATTGCAACCTCACAGAGAAAACAGCAACCAAAAGAATAAATTGGGATGGGAAGTGAAAATTACTGCCTCACAATGAAACCCAGTTTTCAGAACTAATACAAAAGTAAGCAAACTCATCCCACCCCTTAACTAATAAGGTTTTTATTTTATTTTTTTACCTTCCAAACAAAATGTTTTAGTATTGTATAAAAAGGTATGGTTCTGCCATTTTTTGCAATTTATCAACTAATAATTAAATTTAATAATTTATTTTTGCCTAGCCATAACACAACAAGGTAGTTAATTTTATTCATGAAAAGATAGTCATTTATCATGTCTAGGGCATATAACATAATGTAATATAATACATTATACTGTACTAATACTATAAAATAAAATTTACATTGTGATTTGAGAAGTAGATAAAAGAACCACTACAGAACATGGTATATCTAAGAATTTGCTGCTATCCCTCAAAGAAAACCCTTATAAACCAGATTTTCTCCCCTCCAAAATAGCTTCTTACTTCTTCTAGAAGAATTTCTCCATTGTTATCCTTGTCTATTTCTTCAAAGAGGTTTGGCGATACGTCATCATGCCACACAAACATATAGCCCTCTGGTAAGCCAGATACTAAATCAAGCAGCTCAATGTCAAACAGTAACACAGCACTTCCAGGCACTTCTCCTTCTGCCACATAAAATGACAAAAACCAAATCTTAATATTTGCTTTTGGGAACGTTTTGTTTTGCTCTATATTTTCAGTGGCAGTAGGCAGTTTTCCAGCTAAGTAGCCACATGTTAACATTTTTAAAAATGTCTTGCAGAGGGCATGACAACTAATTTAGTGGTATCACCAGGAAGCGGAACTGAAAATGATCTATTTTGCGGATTTCATAGATAATGAACATGAAAAATAAGTTTCCAGAAGACTTCATGAAAGTGAAATGATCAGGGATAATGTAGAGGGTTGGGAGTGGGAGACAGAAATTCACCCCTAGCAGGATAAGCAAGTTATGCTATAAATCAGGGCTTTTCAACCAGTGGTACCCATACCACCAGTGGTACTTTAGCACCTGGCAGGTGGTACGTGACCCCTAGCCAAGTGTAGCGGGGGAGGGAACCAGCTAAAGTGGTGCTGCACAGACCTGGAGGTCAGCTGGAGCTGCAGAGCTTGGCAGAAGCCCCAGGATTGGCGCACATGGCGACATGGTAATTGGAGCTTCCAGCACACCCGGAAGAGAAAAGCAGGAGGAGGGAGGAGAGAAGTATAAAAGGGGCAGGTTTTGGCGGGAGAGGGAGAGAAAGAGTGAGAAGAGGCTTTTCTAACCAAAGCAGTAAGGAGAGACAGAGCGAGTGGCATGTTTTTGGAGGAAAGGTGAGTGAGCGGCATATTTAGCAAGCGGCATGTTTTTGGGGAAAGGGCGCATGAGCGAGCGGCCTGTTTTCGGGGAAAAGGTGAATGAACAAGCGGCATGTTTTGGGGGAAAGGGTGAGTGAGCAGGGCAGGAGCCCCAGGATCGGCATGCGCTTCTGCAGGGCTATGGGGGCTCAGCAGGAGCCCAGGATCTGTGCACGCAACTACAGCTGATCAGTACTTCTGCTGAGCCCCTCAGAAACACCAATCATCCGGAGCCTGGTGCTAATCCTGGCACTTCTGCTGAGCCACCGAGAAGCATCGATCAACTGGAGCCCGGGGCTGATCCGGGCACTTCTGCTGAGACACCCCCCCCCCAGAAGCACCGATCAGCTGGATCCCAACGTTGATCCTGGCGCTTCTGCTGAGCCATGATGAAGTGCCGATCAGCTGGATCCCGATGCTGATTCTGGTGCTTCTGCTGAGCCCCAAAAAAGCACCAATCAGCTGGACCCCACAGCTGATCCTGGTGCTTCTGCTAAGCCACCCAGAAGTGCCGATCAGCTGGACCCCGGTGCTGATCCTGGTGTTTCTGCTGAGCCCTGACAGCCCTGCAGAATCGCCGATCAGCTGTCAGGGCTCAGCAGAAGTGCCAGGATCAAAGAAGGAAGGAAGGAAGGAAGGAAGGAAGGAAGGAAGGAAGGAAGGAAGGAAGGAAGGAAGGAAGGAAGGAAGGAAGGAAGGAAGAAAAGAGATGGGAATGAGGAGGGGAGGAAGGAAGGAAGGAAGAAGGGAGGAAGGAAATGGGAATGAGAAGGAGGAAAAAAGGAGGGGAAGAAGGAAGGAAGGAAGGAAGGAAGGAAGGAAGGAAGGAAGGAAGGAAGGAAGGAAGGAAGGAAGGAAATGGGAATGAGAAGGAGGGAGGCAGGGAGGTAGGGAAAAAGGAAGGAAACCCCTCCCTCCACGGTAACCACAATGCTAATGTGGCCCTCAATGAAATTGAGTTTGACATCTCTGATATAAAAGGTTGTTAAGTGAATCTGGTTTCACCGTTGACTTTGCTGGTCAGAAAGTTGCAAAAGGGGGTCACATGACCTTGAGACACTGCAGCCATCATAAATATGAATCAGTTGCCAAGCATCCAAATGTAAATCACATGACTCTGGGAATGCTGAAATGATCTTGTGTGAAAAATGGTCATAAGTCACTTTTTTCAGTGCCGTTGTAACTTCAAACAGTCACTAAGCAAACTGTTGTAAGTCAAGGACTACCTGTACTTTATCACTTTTTTCCTTTTTTTTGGTCATCAAGTTTTTGACACCTTGCTAGGCGACTGATGGTACTTGGATATTGCCATATCCTAAAAATGGTACAATGGGTGAAAAGGTTGAAAAGCCCTGCTATAGATACTATTTCAGCAAAGAATGATAGAATGCAAAAATTAGATCCATTGAGTCAATAATGGATGCTGTCATTATTTTCTTTCTAGAAAATACTAAAAAATGTGATTATTTTTAGGCTTAATTTTAATGCAAAGTTATTTGTTCACTGACAATGCTTATCTCATTGCTTTATGACATGAGACTACATAGCTCATTCTAAGAGGTTCATTACATAACATGCATAAGACAATTCTACATGTGGACAATATAATTTCTATGCTAATTTTTGTTAAATTGAAGTTCAAGTCTTATTTAATGAATGAGACCTCTCTTCAAAATTATTTGTTATACAGTTCCAAATAATTTTGTTATATCATTCATTCATTTAAATTTATTCTACTGAGAGCAGAAGATAGAAAAAAGGGAATGAATCATATTGGAACTGCCTATGGATCTTTAAGTATAGTTTAACAAAGTGCATATAGAAGAGACTGCACAACCTCAGGTGAACTCAGAAGAAATTTGGATCAACTCACATTAATTTCTTTACTTCAGTACACTTCAGTATTTAAAGGTCTTTGAAAGTTATATACTCACCAACTCCAGCTTCTCCATAACCAAAATGAGGGGGAATAATAATTCTTCTTTTTTCTCCCACACACATATCTCTAAGACCCATATCCATCCCCAGTACAACTTGTCCAGAACCTAGAACTATATTATATGTTTTCCCAAGGTTAACCCTGAAAAAGAACATTTTGATTCATAAAAATAATGAGCAACTCGTCCAATTTTCTAGCATCCTATTTACATGCAATGAACTACATTATCTTATTACTGATAGCGTGTTTCAAAGAAATCCAATGAAAAATGAGTTATATAGAAATCTAATGATCTAAGGGTGCACAAGTCTTCAGGTGTCCTTAACATTTAGGGGCTAATATTTAGATTGAAATGGAAAATCTATCTATTCATACAATGTTAAACCACAAAACTATTGCAAAACCCCATTTTACAATAACATTCCACCTCCTAAACATGTTTTTTGCTATGCCTACTATACTTTATCTTAGCATGCTGGCACAGAACAATATGTAGCACTGGTTTGCAACTATCATTTTCATCTCCTAAGAAAATTCATGGGAATAGTTGAAGCCCAGCTTCACATTTTTGTTTAGCATTCAACATATTATATTACATATTATTCTACCACCTCTTAGGTGGTAGAATAGGCCAGGCCATGGCCTATTCTCAATCAGGCCACATGGGTGGGGGGCCGGCATGCACAAAGGCTTCTCTCTTGAGTGGAGTTGTGCATGCACGCGCGCCTGCCACCGCTCACATGGTGCAGTTCCCCTCTTCCTCCCAGCCAGGCCGCCACGCCACAAGGTTGGGGACCACTGGCTTACATTAGGCAACACAGTATCAACAATAGAGACCTTCAAATATCTGGGTTCTATAATCTCCCAGGACTTCAAATGGACACCTAACATTACAACCATTATTTAAAAAGCACCATTTCCTGCGCCAACTCAGAAAGCTCAGACTGCTGGTAACGTTCTACAGAGGAATTATCGAATCTGTCATTTTTATTTCTATAAACTGTCTAGTTTAGCACAGCACCCAAACAGGACAGATACAGACTTCAACAGATAGTTAGGTCTGGAGAAAAAACTATTGAACCAGCCTGCCTTCCATTGAGGATCTGTATACTGCACAAATCAGAAAGAATGCTGAGAAAATATCTATAGACCCCCTCACATCCTGGACATAAACTGTTTCAACTCATCCCCTCAGGATGCCACTATAGGGTACTGCATGCCAAAACAACTAGACACAAAGACAGTTTTTTCCCCAAGCCATCACTCTGCTAAACACATAATTCCCATAGTGCTGTGTTATGCCTAAAGATATCTAAACATGTATTGCTATTATCAGTCTCATTTTTCTTATTACTTTCTCCTATTGGTATCCTATGATTTATCACTTTGTCATTAGTATCTAATGATTTATCACTTTGTTGTTTGTATGTATTCCTTGTGTATCCAATCACATTTGGCCAATAAAGAATATTCTGTTCTGTTCTATATTAGGTGAAGTAGGGCAAGCCAGCTGATATGAAGCAAAGAATCTGAAGGCACCATGATACCACTGGGCATCCTTAGTGGTTAAGGCACCAGGCTAGAAAGCTGGAGAACATAAGTCCTAGTCCTGCTGTCATGAAAGCCAGCTGGGGAAGCTAGGGCCAATCATTCTCTTAGCCCAATTCATCCACAGGGTTGTTGATGTGAGGAAAATAGGAAGAGGGAGGCTGTTGGTTTTCTGTGTTGCCTTGAGTTATTTGTAAAACCAACAAAAGCAGGGCCTGGAGATAGAAAAACAACTTCCATTGTTTATTTTCATAATTTATAAACCTTTTGTCTGCATGCAGGACATCACACACTTCTTTCAGTTATATTAAAGAATGCAAACAGCTAATAAAAAAAGGAATCATGTCTTGAGCCACATCTGTTTTTTTAAATTTTCATTCTTGCAGAATTATTTATGGCCAGATGATATACTTACGTTGAGTCTAATAAAGTGCCATCTAGGAGAGAAGCATTGTAATGATACTTCAAGTAATCGCCTTTCTTGCTTAGCACTGAACAGTTAGTAGGTTTGTAATAGGCTGTAACAGCAACCGAATCTGAAGGGTTGTGAAAATCTATCACATGAACTTCAAATACCAACACAGCTGATCCTGGGATGTTTCCTACAATATCAAGCAAGCACATAGTAATAGGCTGTTCACCTTTCTTCTCTTATTCATTTTACACCTTGTAAACAACAAAATCATCTATTGAAAATTGATACTGTGAAAATAAAGGTGTGGTCAAAGCATCTGCAAAGGCTATCCTGAATTATGCTAATGTTTGTGCCATTTTGTCCTTTTCCAACTGCAAAAAAATATATGTACTTCCACAATCATTATATTTGGGGAGATTACCATGGTTACCCATTTTGGAAGTGCGAATGTACTGAAGAAAAATAAGCAAGCTTAGAAACCTAGTGAAATTGTATTTTTTTATTGGGTGAATTTGCAGCTAAAAATTAGTGAAAGTGTTGGGCTTTAGGAAAAATCACTTGGAGTGAGTTTGGGTTGCTTCTGCATTTCCAACAGAAAGTATGGATTCTCACTCATTGTCACAAAGGTGCTTTTTCAAGAGGCAACCGTACTTGTTTTTCTTTGAAGATATTTCGCTTCTCATCCAAGAAGCACCTTCGGCTTTGACTGAACGGTGGGGAATGGAAGGATTTATATTCCTTGCAGACAGCTGGTCATTTGCATTCTTTTAGTGAGTCACTGAGGCCACTTGGAGGTTTATCTGTATCCTCAAGGTGCAACTAGAGTGGTGCAAATAGGTGTGGAATCTTCTTGGAACTGCTGAATGAAGACTCCACACCCAATGCTCATCCAGTCATTGGTATTAAAAGTATTGGTATGCAAAGATCCCAACGTGTCTTCCCTTTTCTGTTCTTCCCCATTGAGAAAAACATCACCCCTTTTGCATGTCTAATATAGGATCTTTTATATTAATATAATGATTTTATCTAATCATTCCAAAGATGTAGAAAGCTCCTTTTGTGTCTGGCTAATGTTAAGTGACAAAACATAATAACAGGATTGTTTCCAGATAACTTGAAAAAGGCATCCATTATCTCCAAAGGTAGAACTATTGTTAGCATCTACAAAACCAAACCAAAAAAAAAAAAGATTTGCCTAGGGAGCTCACTAACTGTAGTAACTGTCACTAAACTTTTGTGGGGGGAAAATGTGTTACTAATTCTTTCAATTACATATCTAATTCTGGATATGTTGTAGGTAGGAGAAAATGTTCTTCAAGCAAGTACTATCAAATAAGCCATGATTCACTGATAACATCTACTGATCCCTATTCTACCATTTGTAATAGCAGAATTCACTATAAATTTGGTACAAATCTCACATGGAGTGCAGGAGTCAGGTGCATTGACTTTATCACTCTTTGATCCTGGAACACATGCTTAAATCTATATACTATATATACTAAATATACTAAAATAGTAACTGAGCTGCAGGACATTAGTACTTAAGAAAGCACCTGAAATAAAACTTATACTCACCTCTTCCCTCTTCTCCATATCCAAGATGAGGTGGTATTATTATTCTCCTTTTCTCTCCAACACATGCTCCAAGCAAACCTTCATCTATCCCAGCAATCACATAACCTTTGCCAATGTAGGTGTCATAGGTTCGATTTCGTGAGTAACTACAGAAGATACATTGCTTTACTGCAGTTACTATCAATTGTACCACATTTACAATTTACTGAGTATGATGGCAAATACAGAAAAAATATAGATGTAATCTATATATAATTTAGTGTATGTATATTCCATGTACACACTACCATCACCCCACCTGTTAAACTAGAAAAGCTTATTCAGCTAATGGAGCATTTGCTTGTAAAATAGTTTTACTAGAATAACCTCAGCCAGGAGCATATTGAGCAGTGATGGGTTGCGGCCACAATACAGCAAACTAAAAAAAACCTTGATTTTCAAAGCCTTAAGTTTATGTTATTATCCTTTAGGGTCTTTTTGCCACAGTTGTTAAGCAAAGCATTGCAGCTATTAAGTGAATCACATGATCATTAAGCAAACTCAGTTTCCCCCAATGACTTTGCTTGTGGGAAGCCAGCTGAGAAGGACACAAATCATATGACTCCAGGATGCTGCAACTATTGTTAAGTACATGCTGGTTGCCAAGTGAACAAATTTTGATTACGACTGTGGAGATGCTGTGATGGTCATAACTGTGAGGACCAATTATAAGTAACTTTTTTTCTCAGTGCTGTTGTAACTTCAAATAGTCATTAAATGAATGGTTGTAAGTTGAGGACTACCAATATAAGAATTAAAAATAAGACTTCCAGAGTTTCTGAAAAAGCTAGGAAGCCATTAAAAAGAATTTCAGTAATTGCTGAATATGAAATGTAAGCTCTATTTATAGTGAAATCAAGATTCAATTTCTATCTTTTGCCCAAGCGCAATGGATTAGATGTACCCTTCTTTTGGGTGGAAAACTTGGTTTCTATCTGATTAGTGTATGGGTCACGGACACAACTAGTATCAAGTTGTTTATTTTTGAATATGGGATAACTAATTCTCACGAGTATGTGTGATGTCTCCCTGTTGTTTAATACAGCAGTGTATACATATTTAAAGAATATAGTAGTATTACATGTGTGTTAGTTAGGAATATAAATGTACATGTTTGTATGCACATCTGTCATAACATTAACTGAAAACCAGACTGATCTGCAAAATGTTTGATACAAATTTTCTGAAGGAACATGGAACAGAGAACTAATGTATGAAAGTTAGTTGTCTTTGATAGGAAAAAAAGTAATTGCAATCAGAGAAAATAGCTGTGTACAAGAGAGGGTAATTCTGCCCATATGGAAGTGAGAGTTGGTGTATCAAGAGTATAATAGGAATGTGGGGCACAGTGACTCAGCAGTTAAAGATGCTGACCTTGTCAGCTGGAAAACTGACAGCCCAGTTCAAGACCTGAGTGCCAGGGGTGAGCTCTTGTTACTTACCCCAGCTCTAGCCCACCTAACTATTTGAAAGCATGTAAATGTGAGTAGAAAAATAGGTACCACTTTGGTGGGAAGGTGACAGCATTCCATGCCCCTTGGTGTACAATCAGGCTGGCCAATGACCACAGAAACATCTTTGGACAACGTTGGCTATGGGGATGAGCCCTCTTAGAGTCAAGCATGATTAGACAGAGGAAACTTTTATCTTTCATAACATGGAGTACAGTAAGACTACAGTAGGAATAGAGAGGGATTTAAAAGTTCATGGTATAAGGAGAGACAAGCACAAGAATAAAGGAATCCTGAACAATATGGACTGAATTCAAATTAGTGACCAATATATAGGGCAGCAGTCCCCAACCTTTCTGGTTCCGCAGACCAGCAACAACAGTGATGATGGGGGGAGGGGATGGTTTTACGTGTGCACCCACCACTTGCACAAATGGAGTTTTGTGCACTCATCTGCCACTTGTACGGACCGATTCCCAACGGGCCATGGACTGGGACCAGGCTAAGAACCAGAAGTTGGGGACCCCTGATATAGAGGGGACATATAGTGAGGAGAAAAAATTATTTGATTTCCTGCTGATTTTGTACCTCTGTGATTGCCAACAAGGATTTTGCCACCAAGAACTAAATCATGTTTTGAGACGGGGTCAAATACTTATTACACTCATTAAAATGCAAATCAATTTATAACTTTTTTGTTTTTCTGGATTTTGTTGTTGTTGTTGTTGTTGTTCTGTCTCTCACTGTTAAAATAAACCTACCATTAAAATTATAAGACTGATCATTTGTCAGTGGGCAGATGTACAAAATCAGCAGGAGATCAAATATTTTTTCCCCTCACTGTATGGGCATAGTGTGTGTGTGTGCATGTGTTTGTGTAGGAAATGACAAAGACTGGATATGGGTACAAGTTCAAGAGTGGAATTACCATTAGCCACCTTCTCTACATGAATGATATCAAGCTATATTCAAAGAATGAACATGATATCAACTTGCTGATCCACCTGACATAGATCTAGAGTGAGGACACTGGATAGCATTCAGAATAGTTGTGAGTGTAACTGGATGGTAATCAAGAGAGGAAAGATAATTAGGACTGGTGGGGAGGAAATACCAGGAGGTAGTAGACATACAGACCAGTTTCAAGTACTTTGGTATCCCACAGTCACATGGAAACCATCACAAGGAGGCAAGGAAGACGCCAACATATAAATATCATCAAATGATCAGACAGATCTTGAAGAGCCAGCTCATTGGTAAGGACAAGATCCACATCATCAATACCTATACCCTGCCAGTCATCAGATAATTGGCAGGTATAATAAATGGGCCAAAGAAGAATAGGGAAGTTGCCCGTGTAAAGACTGAAAAGCTCATCACAATGTACAGAGGTTTCCATCCCAAGTCCAACACCCAGAAACAGTACATCAGATGGAAAGAGGGCAGTCAGGGTTTGATGAGTGTCAAAGTCACAGTCATGATGAAACTCATAGCATCCAACAGTATATCAATATGGCACCCTAATATGAGTTGCTGAGAGAATGCCTGAGGTAATTGCAGATGTGGGAAGAAGATCAAGCAAAGGAAGTGCCATGGCAAGACAAGACCCTACATGGGATGTATTTTGACAGAAAACTAGATGGAAAACACTGGGAAATCCTATAAGTGGCTGGAAAGGGCTGGACTAAAAGACAGCACTAAGGCACTGATCACAGCAGCACAAAAACAGGCACTAAGCACCAGATCCACAGAAGCAGAACCCTAGGTGCAGATTATGCAAAGAAAACTTAGAGACAATTCACATGTAATGAAAAGATGTAAGATGCAGACATGAACAGCATATACTGAATGGAACAACTAAGTAGCTGGCATTGTGTACAGTAACATCTGTACAAATATGGGCTAAACCCTCCTAAATCTAGATGGGAGATCCTACAGAAGGCTGTGGAAAATAAGAGGTCTAAAAGCCTGTAGGATTTCCAGAGCCAGCCAGAGAGGCAAGCATTGGCCAATCAACCAAACATTGTGATATTAGACAAAGACAACAAAAAACAGTGGTTGTGCCAAGTGACAGTAACATCAGGAGGAAGAAATATGGGAAACAGGAAAAGTACCAGGGCCTGAAAGAGGAACTGGAGAGGATGTGGAAAATTAAGGCCAAAATGGTCCCAGTGATAGTAGGAGCACTTTGGTGCTGTGTCTCCTAGGCTGGGTGGCTCCAACAAATCCTGGGTAGAACATCAGGGCTTTCTGTCCAAAAGAGAAAAGAATACGGTGCTAGGAACAGCTAAGATACTGTGCAGAACCCTCAAGCTCCCTGGCCTCTGGTAGAAGATCCAAGATCGAGAAAGACACAGACCACGCGTAAGGGTGAGAAGGGAATTGATGATAGACAGATAGGCAGGCAGGCAGGCAGCTTTTAGTTAATTTAACATACGGTACTTTAATATAATGAGATCTAAATTGCTTTTTATTCTTGCTCCATACATATTTTGATAGGCTTTACCTACTTGCACTGCAATGGAACATAACTCAGAGGACAAGTATGACCTTTGGATTAAGAAAATGAGTGTCCTGACACTTATTTTACATTACACTTATCACACATATTTTTCTCTCATTAATTCAGCAAATAGAAAATGCAAAATTTTATACGCTAATATTATTCTAATAATTACTGAACCATTTACTTATAAAATTGCATGAAGTTCAAATGCAGATGTTCCTAGATGTGTATATTTAATATTTTACAGGCTCTGCTTATGGTTTTATTAAAGGAATAAAATTAAGGGGAAAAAGTTGCTCCCATCAAAAGTATCTGGGTGAAATTCTTAATTTATTTTATTGGTATATTTGTTTATTTCTTGGAAAAAATCCATCTATATAATTGCTAAGATTGATACCAACTTGATGCTCATAATCAAACTTATTTATTAATCACTAATATATTTATACCCAGAAATGTAAAATGCTTTCTAACAAAGGTGAAAAAAGTAGCCAAGGACTGCTAAGAATATATACAGAATAGATTTTATGCTTAATTATTTAATTACCTGGAATCAAACAATGTTCCATCAAGAAGGGTACCATTATAGTGATACCTGAGGAAATCCCCAATTTGGGTTTGACGTTCACAGGACTTTGGCACATATAGTTTATCTACATTAATCCTGTCTTTAGGATTGTGTAGATCTAGAAGAGCTACATCAAAGACAAGAGAAGCTTGACCAGGTATTTCTTTCCCTGTAAACAAAGTATACAGAAAATAAACAAGCTGAATTTTTGAACATTTGCAAACATTTATTATACCTTATTTTGATATCAGTTTGAGGCTATTTGGATAATGTTCACTATTGGAAGGAATAAAGCTGGCATATATCCCGTTTTGATTTCCTATATATCAGGGGTGTCAAACTGCCGGCCTGCAGACGCATCATCCAGAAGCCGCGCCCACCCCATTGCTGGCAATGCAAAACTGTCCCGATACGTTGCGCGACATCACGTGACATCGCGAGTTTGACATGTCTGCTATATATTGTGGAACTTTTAGAACTTATTCTGCTGTTTTCAATGATTCAAATATTCTTGAGTAGGTAAAGGCTTTGCTAACCTACATGAAAACCTCCAAATGAAATGGAGTAGCCCATCTCTGTTTCAATTTTCTTTCTTGGAGACAAGATGTATATCAAAGTTTAAAGAATGTCACATTGTTTAAACTTAACATTTATTTATATTTATTATTTAAAGGTAATAATATAATTAGGCTTCTGAGTTTTCCTGTTTCTGTGGTATCAATTTCATTTTAAATTAAAAATCTGGTTTTGTTGGAACATATTCAATTCACATGCAGATAAATTTGATTTGTGATAAAATAATGGGTGAGTCAGCTTCTAGAGTCTGCTGTTATTTTTTTTAGCCCCTTCTTGGGGAAGCTTTTTTATTCTTCCTCCCCTTCCTTGTAACATGGAAAAACAATGTTATTCTTTAAAAATAGATAAACAAAAATAAGATGTTTATTAAATTTCATAAATTACTTCAACACCATATGCAATATTACAGAAAGAATCATGTTAAAATACTACAAATCATATAATAAAGGAGGAAAAGGAGGATTGAGATGAAGGAGAAGGAAGAGGAGGAAGAAAAGAAAATAAATTTTATATGCTCCACTATTGAGTTAAATATTCTTTCAATGGATTTTGCATATTTTAATTTTAATATTTAGTTTTTAATATTAATTTTTATATATGTACTATATATGATTGATTTTACTTACACATTGTTTTTATGGAGTTTTATGGAGAATATTTGGTCAGATGGGCAGCCATATAAATTAATTAATACAAGTAGCCAACCACAATAATTTTTGGTCAGATGGGCAGCCAAATAAATTAATAAAATTAACAACACATAAAATTTATGCTGTTCAATTATAACAATTATTTGTATTAGAATGTCCATTAGGAATGAGTAAACTTTCAGATTAGTCAAAATACATTAAAAATCCTACTGATTTCTCTGTAAAATAGCAAAATAATTTACCATCTCCATCTTCTCCATATGCCAAGAAGGGTGGTACTGTGATTATGCGCTTTTCTCCTACACACATTCCAAGAAGACCTTTGTCCATTCCAGGGATTAACCACCCAATTCCTACATAGGTATCATATGTTCGCATTCTATTGTGACTGAAGATATAAATAAATTCCAGTGAATTCCAGATCATTTTAATTCAGAGAGAAACAAGAGGATTAAATATAACAAAATAAGAGGATGTGGATTTGACTTGTTCTCAATACACACATACATATGTGCGCACGCGCACACACACACACACATTTTATGTTCACTACAGCTATCCGTGGTGAAGAAACACCTGTCTTCATCAGGAGTCTTGGGAAATATTGTTAAATATAATGTGCCTGGTAGGTCAGATCAAGGACACAGCATTTTAGTATATTATGTAAAGTGGTGCATTGGGAACTCTGATAAATCTGGGTAGAAGGGCACATCCACTTTTGCTCCCAGCTGATATTTAATGTGTGCTATAATTCAGAAGACTACACAGAGCACTGACAAGTAGCCATTAAAGGTCTAATCCAAGTGTCATGGATGGCAGAAAAGTCAATACATCATGAAAAAGAGTTTCATGGATGGCAGAGAAGTCAACACTTTTAATTATGCACTGAATAAATAATAAATATGTGCCATGCTTTAGATCTTAAGGCAGAAAGATGCATCAGACTATGTGGAGGTACCAATGTACCACTGTCTCCAAATGCTTAAAGTCACTATACCTTTGTCCAGATTCATATAACAGCCCTCCATAGCTGCAGTGTGAAATCTAGAAATACACATTTGGTTTCAGGAGTTGCAAACATGTGTTATGTATATGTATCTTTCTATCATCAAATAAAAACCTCTGAACTTTTCATAAATTCTTCCTTTTATCAGTCCTTTATAGTATTTAGCTATTGTTAGTAGTAGAATTTGTGAGAGAGGGGAAAAAAAGACAAACAATAGAAAAAGGAGACTATAAAGATCACCAAACCAAATAAGACTAAACTTGATAATGAGGGGTTTTCAATATCCCAGCATTTTGATCTTATATTATTTTAAAACTGTAGATCACTGTTAAAATTTAAGTAATACATAAATATCATCAGCAAGAATCAGCACAGTATAAATCAATATAATAAGATGTAGAATTAATTTCTATCCAAGCAGTGCAAATGTTAAACTTATTTAACAGATCACTGAAAATTAAAACATTGACTTTATTCTAGTAGAAATTTACAAAACCAAATAGTTTCCAAGTTGGATTTAACATTGAATTTGACTGGATGACATTCAATGTTTATGTCCCCCAACACATGAAAAAGACAAAATATTTTATTGTTACCTTGAGTCAAATAGTGTTCCATCCAAAAATGTTCCATTATAATGGTATCTTATAAAATCAGACACCTGAATTGTCCTTGAACAATTTTCTGGCTTGTAATATGTCTGAATTTCAACTTGGTCTTCAGAATTCCAAACATCAACCAGAAGGACATCAAAATTCAGAACTGAATTTGCAGGAATTACACTGGCTATGGATGCAAAGGATATTAAAAAGGAATTAAATCAAATTCTTTACCAGCTACCAGTATTTTTTTAAAAAAAAAATCTCTTTTTCTGATTATTGTATTCAACATCTTGTACCACCAATACAAAGAAACACAGAGAATGCTAAGTCTTTTTTAAATTTATGCACAATACAACAAATATATCAGTTATCATATTTTAACAAAGGATAAATCATAATACAATTTCATTTCTGAAAAATTACATTACAGTAACCTAATATTTTTAATAATCTAACATCCATCCATTAGGTCAGACATGTCAAACACAAGACCCATGGGCCAAATCCGCCCCGCCGTGTGGTTACATCTGGCCCAGAGAGCTGCCCTGAAAACAGCAAAGGACCGGCCCACGGCACCTTGGCCCAGTCCAGGCCGACCAAGCGCTGATCTACAACCTGGTGCCAGCCATCAAAGCCAGGACACCCTCAGCCTTAGATCCATGGGGCAGCCCTGAAACCAGCGAGGGGCTGTCCCCACCCCGCCCCCTAGGCACGCATGCAGGAGGCAGCAAGCAGGCGGAGTCCAGAGTCCCTGCTGATCATCTTGCCCACAGACTGACTTCCCCCAGGATGCCAGCACTCGCTGCCTCTTATGCGCACACCTGGGCAGAGCAGAGGTGGCGGGGCAGCTCCTCGCTGGTTCCAGGGCTGCCCCATGGATTTAAGGCTGAGCACGTTCTTGCTTTGATGGACGCTACCAGGTTGTAGATCAGTGCCACACACACCCCAACCAGCACTTCCATGGCCCTAGCCTTGTAGCCACGAGGCTTCCCTTTCACCATGACTGGCCCTGCCTGCCCGCGTGGGATAGCGACGGCCGGCGGCAGCATGGCCACTAGCAGCGCTGGCAATCTCTCCCCCTCCCATTGTTCCTTCCTGAGTGCAGAGGAAGGAAAGAGATGAGAATGTGAAGCTGGGAAGGAAGGAGATGGAAATGAGGAGGAGGGAGACAGTGAAGGAGGGAAGGAAGGAAAGAGGAAGGAAGGAAGGAAGGAAAGAAGGAAGGGAGGGAGGGAGGGAGGGAGGGAGGGAGGAGAGGCAACTTGTTTGGAGAAACCCCAATTCACGCAGTTCTGCTTCAATCCTAGATCCATTGAGACTTGGGCTCAAAGGAAAAAACAATTTTATGTTCTGTTTTGTCACAGACAGGACTTTGTTGGCAATCCAAGTTAACACTGATATTCCTAAATTGTGAACTCTTTGGAAAGTATCCCCTCGTGTGTTGCAAACAGCCATTTCCAGTGGGGAAAACAGGAAAAAGCAGAGTGGGGAAAAACATTTTCCTTTGTTATATTTCTAGTCTGAATTAGGCCATGGCAGGGTCCTTACAGGAGAGCCCTTTTAAGGATTATGTATTAATAGAAAAGCAACTAACTTACCTCTGTTCCTAAATGCTAAAACTGTTGCACTTAAAAAACAGAGGAGCTCTGATCAACTATCACAGCCACCATTTTGACAGTTTTGCTATATTGTTGTCTATGGATGCCCCCACTAAATGCAAGCATGGGATAAACTGGGCCTGGATTGTTCTCAGTCATCTAAGTGGCCACAAACTACTAGCAAAAGCAGCATTTGATCACAAGGCAATGAGGCATCAAGAAATGTTTCTCCTTTTGCTTTTGAGCATCCAAGAATGAACAGGAAAGAAGACAAAGAAAAAGAAGAAAAGAGGGAAAGAGAGCAAGAAGGAAAAAGAAGAAAAGAGGAGAAGGAAGAAGGAAAATGAAGAGGGAAGGAAAAAAGAAAAGGGGGAAAGGAAGGGAAGGGAAAGGAAGGTAGGTAGGTAGGTAGATTATAATGAGAGGGAGGAAGGGTCTGAGGGAAGTCCTGCCTTAACACTTGGCCACGAGCAGTCCTGCTGCCCTTTCGCCATCCCCTTGTCCTCTCCTGGTGATCTCCCATCCTATCACTGAGGATGCTTTGGTTACAAAGCCAGGTCTCCTCGCATGGAGAGGAAGTAGGCCTCCTTCTGACCTGCACACTTTGCCCTCCCGCACACACTATGAGCAACTCGGCCAAGGAGAGTAAGCCAATCAGCAGCAGCCTTGAGGAGGAGGTAAGCGCAGCCAGGCACTCCCTTGGGGAAGGCTGGACTGGGTAGTCACCCTCCACTGCCCAGGACCCCGGGTAGCCTGCATCTTTGGGGGTCTTCTGTGTGGCCTGAGAGGGACAGCAAGGCTCCTCTGGTGGACATGAGTATGGTGCTCCTCCTGGTCTCACCTTCTTCCACTGGAGCCAATGGATCCGCCCAGCCCCGCCCAGGCCATCCCCTGGCCACGCCCACCTGAGGTCAACCACAACCCTCATGCGGCCCTCAATGAAATCGAGTTTGACACTCCTACATTAGGCTAATGCAATGAATTATTTTTTTAAAGAGGTCAAGAGATCAATTCTAACTATGACTATATTAATACAACACAATGTACACAACTTACACAATTTATACTAAGATATTGTTTCTTAAAATGTGGTCCTAGGACTCCTGGGGGTTCCCCAAGACCTCTCAAAGGTTTGCATAATCAAAATATTTGCCAACATATGTTAAAAATAATACAATATTAAAATTCCCATCAAACAATCATGAGAACCAGTAGCAAAAGTCAATACATCAATTTTAATTTTTAGCGTGGCAAATACCAATAAATATAATACATATAAACAAAATCTCTTTGGGGGTTCACCATACATTTTTATAGTAGGAAGATAAAAAGTTTAAGAAACACTATACTAAGACATCAGTCACAGACTACACAGACTACAAAAGTTGGCTATCACAAGATGCTATAAAACAGGCAAACCATAGAGTGAGTTAGAATGGGAAAAACCAAAATATAATTCAGAAATGGACAGAAACTATTTTAAGTCCATTTTCGCAGTGGGCTGCTATTCTTTATAGAATTTATTTTTACATTTCCTGCTGATGGACAGCAATGTAAGACACTGCCACATACGCTCAAACAAAACTTACTTTGAGAAATTATAGGATACATATTAACAGTCCTGAAAAAAATTAGTACAAGCCTACCTTTTGATTCCATTTGTTTGTTTAATGTATTTATAACAGGCCCAAGGAAAAGTATACATGTACTATTTGTATGTTTGATTTAGATACTTAAAACTTATATAAACTTTGTTCTCAAGATCTTAAAACATTATCATGCATGAAAGCAATGAAGAAAGAAAACATTTAGCTATACAGTTTTTTTCCCCCAATATTTTCAAGAAAACTAAAGCTTCTAACTTGAAAGATACAGGTAGTCCTCAACCTACAACAGTTTGTTTAGTAAGTGTCTAAAGTTACAACGGCACTGAAAAAAGTGATTTATGATCGTTTTCACACAACAGTTGCAGCATCCCCATGGTCACATAATCAAAATTCGGATGCTTGGCAATTGACTCATACTTATTATTCAGAGACATGTGATCACTTTTTGTGACTTTCTGATAAGCAAAGTCAATGGGGAAGCCAGATTCACTTAACAACTGTACTACTAACTTAACAAGTGCAATGATTCAACTTAAAAACTGTGGCAAAAAAGGTTGTAAAATGGGACAAAATTCAGTTAACAACTTTCCTGCTTAGCAACAGAAATTTTGGACTCAATTATGGTCATAAGTCAAAGACTACCTGTACTTCCAGATTTGGGTTAGTTCTTGAGTGCAGATTTAAGAAACAAATCAAACTCTCCACCAATTCCTGTCACAACAAAGATAAAATTATGAAAGGCTGTTTTTCAAACTATGCAAGATATTAAAAAAAATGACTCTTTAGATCAGTGAAGTTTTAATTTGGTGACGTTTTTCAAAACATCATGTGACCATGACTATCTGATTGAAGCTCCACTTTTTTTTAGATGCATTGCACGCATGACCTTTATTAAAGAGACATTTTTCAGTCACATATCATTTCTGACCTGTTCCCTGTGGAAACTCCTGGTGAGTTATAGGAGAAATGATTAAAAGATGAAACAAGAGCATAATCAGCAGCCCAAAGTAATAATGACATGTGTCACCCATTTTAATTTCAAAAAAACCTCTATCTAAACTAAAAAATAAGTGTAATGTTTAAACACAAATGGCTAGTGACTGCTTTGACCTACTATCATGGCAGCGAATATGGTTGCTGCTGCATCTTACTCTACTATAACAACTTTCAGCTACTGGCCTCTTCAGATGTCTTCAGTTTACAACTCAGAATTCCTTTACCATGCTGGCAAGTAGGTGAAGGCTATACTGTATTAATCATGGTGCAAACTATTTTTGCATGAAAGAATAGCGCAACATTAAGAACTATTGTGCATTATTTGCACAAATATAGCAAAACTACTTCCTTTTATTCTTAAAGAGATCGAGATGCTCACAAAATCCTTTCAATGATCTTAGAAGAATGTTGAATGTTGAAGAATGAGAACTTAAATATCTTCTTTCAAAAAATTAAACCAGTAAGGCATCATAGCATGATCAACATCAATAAGACTCTCTAGGCCAGTGGTTCTCAACCTTTTTAATGCCGCGACCCCAACCGGTCGTAAGTCGAGGACTAAACCGGTCATAAGTCGAGGACTAAACCGGTCGTAAGTCGAGGACTAAACCGGTTGTAAGTCGAGGACTACCCAACCGGTCGTAAGTCGAGGACTACCCAACCGGTCGTAAGTCGAGGACTTTCCCTGCCCGGGAGCGCCGCGCATGTGTGGTTCCGCCCCCTGCGCTGGCCGAGGCATAGCTGGCAAGCGGCAGAGATGGAGCAGGCTGACCACCAGCTGGCCCAGCCCAAGGGAGGTAAGGCACCCGCCGGAAAAGGGGAAAAAAATGGCGGACAAAAAAATGGCAGACAGCCTTGCTTGGCGACCCCCGTGAAATGGTCGATCGACCCCAAATGGGGTCCCGACCCTCAGGTTGAGAACCACTGCTCTAGGCTATTTAAATATTATATGTATGCTTTTGAACATAAGACAAGAAGGAATCATTAGTTCAATCCTTGACCCACATATATCTTTAGTAACTTAGAAATTATGAATATTCAGAGTTTGGGAATTAAATATACTGTCATATTCAAAGCTATAGATATATGAGATGCACTGGTCAGCAATAAATCCATAACCCATAGGTTAAATTAATTTTTAAAACCTTACATTTTAACTACAGTTTAATAAATCTGTCTTGACTCATTATATTTTAGCATCAAAAAGTACAGAAAACTGTACTTACAAACTCCTTCATTTCCATATCCAAGATGGGGTGGAATCTTTACAAATCGCCTTTCATTTACACACATACCAAGCAGAGCCTTCTCCATCCCAGCAATAAGCTGATTTTTCCCCACAAAAACATTGAATGTAGAGCCCCTGTCATAGCTAGAAGAAAGTGAATTGTTAGGTCAGTTAAATAAACATTCAAATATTGCATTTCACTGACATAATTTAATTTTTATTTCCGTTCAGCCAATTTATGATTTAAGAGTAGGTATGACATGATGCTTTGTACACATTTCTCTTGATAGTTGCCTTTTTTTTAATATAAATTTAAAGGCTTTATAAGAAGTTGATACACTACAAAGCATAGTATTATCTCCAGCATTATTTTTTCGTCCAAGAGTGTCACTGGGTTCCATCTAAATCCCATGCATATTCTTGGAAAACTTTTTGTTTCCTCTGTGGTTTTTGTTCTTTCTGACTGTAAAATAGTAAAGACACTATTAAACATTCTTATATATCTCATACAGATTCCAATGAACAGCCTAATAACAATCACATAATCTGATGCTTACAACATCCAACAAACATAATTTATATAACATATAAATTATAAAGATAAATCACTCGGGGGAATACAATCCATGATATTAGATCCATTCCAAAAAGAAGTTTAGATCACATGGTCACACCCCAAATCCAGCTGAAGCAAAACCTCCATCATTTTCCCTGGAGGAAGCAGCTGCAGCATGATGTCCATAGAACTGCTCAGTTAATAAACATCCTGGTTGACCCAAAAGGTGCATTTTTCCAACTTCTTTGATTTTTCTTGAAGACATTTCACTCAAGAAGCTTCTTCAATTTAACCTACCTTGTGAGAAATTAACTCCCAGGTGGTTCAACTACTCTTACAGGGTTAACAAATTGGCTGACTGCAAAGAGTATAAACCTTTCATTCCCCACCAGTTAGTCTGAACTGAAGATGAGAAGTGAAACATCCTCAAGAAAAATCAAGAAAGTCCAGTTGCCATTTGAAAAAAAGCACCTTTTGAGACAAACAGATGCAGCCACTGCCAGCCTTAGCACTTGCCACTCCAATCTGCAGCACTTTCCCTGAATGGTAATCTTGGAAATGGCTTCTCCACTTCTACCAGCTTTTCCAGATCAGATTAATATTACTGTATTAAGATGTGGTATGTATGCATTCCCTCCAAGGGTGGCTTCTGTTGTCGTGTGTGTGTGTGTGTGTGTGTGTGTGTGTGTGTGTGTCCGTCCCCTAATTATCTCGATGTTCTCAATTCAGCTTTGGCTATCTGCATATCGATTTCCTCTGTGCTGATTAATGTCTACCATAAAGCTTTTCCTATTCTGACTCCAATGACTTTTCAGCGTCTGATAAAGCGATGGTCTTTCCAATGCCAGCTTCCCAAAGACCAGAAACGGAGATTCTGCATAGAAGGGATGCGCTGTTCCCCGAGACTGATAACTTGAACTCATCTTCCTGCAACCGGGCCCATTAACTGGAGTTTCCTCTGGAGTCAAGTCATCCAGGGACCTGCCCCTATTTGCGCTCTACTTGGCCTCCCCCACCCACACATCCGCAGCGCCACGCCGGCGAAGGAAAGAGGGGGGCTACCTGGAATCGAATTTCTTGCCGTCGGACAAAGTACCATGGTAATGGTAACGTACGAAGTCGCCGGAAAAAACAGTGCGCGGGCACTTGCCCGGCACATACTTGCGCTCGATCAACACGTCTTTTCCATCCCAGTGGGTCTCCCCAGCCGGCACCGGCGGAGCCTGGCATGCTACGCAACTAACTAGCAACGCAAGGAGCAGGGGCGAGCAGCAACGGTGTCGCCGCCTCTGGGTCGGCGGCATTCTCGGCATATCCATTGCGAAAAGCGAGCGCAACGAGGAGAACATTCAAGAGCAAGTTCGGCTGAAATCCCGGCTTCCCAAACTGCAAACGTGGAGAGGGGGATGGTGGGGGCGCGGATGGAGAGGAAGAATTCCCAGCCCCTTCGATGCTTAGCAAAGGGAGGAGCCAGGCCGCGGGAAGAGGGGCGCAGCCAAGTTTCCTTGGGATAGAAAAACAAGGCCTGGCCACCAGCCAGTACCGCCTTCCTGCAAAAACGTTTAGTTTAGAGCGTGACTTTACGGTATTTGATCTATGTGTCCTAACCACCGACTTCGAAAACAAAGCTGCCTTAAGCGAAAAGGCGGTTCAAACCTGAAGGGCGGGAGATCGACCCACCGATAGGCTGTTTATCCCTATCTCCCCCCCACCGCTTCCATTCCTCGGGTCGCTACGTGGCACCGCCTCATTCCTAGACCCGAGTGGCTAGCAAAGCTCGCGTGTTGGCAGCGCGTGGAGCACGTTCCCTCCTCGTTGGATTGCGCGCCCCACTATAAGAGCCTCAGCAAATCAAGGGAGCAAACGGGAGCTAATTGTTTCCCCCTTTTAAAAAAAAACAACCCGTTTTTTTTTCTTGGAATATTGCAGTTACTGCGTCATTTTTTATTTACTAAACCAACCAAGACCAATGCACAAGATTCTGTTCAGTCTGTAATCTTGAGTAAACAGCTAGAGTTGTTTATCTCAGGAACGAAATCTAGCTTGGCCTAATACGTTTTATAATTATGCTCTTCTTCTGATTTTATCCTTACTTCAATAAGCAGTTTTTAGAAATTATCTGCTAGACTGATTTATATTTCTTTGCATTTTGAAGGACTTGTTTTCATCCATTTGTCTAAACTACTAAGGGATGTCTCAAAGGTGTTTTTTTCTTCAAAAGGCAAATGGATTGGTTTGTGTGTGCATGTTTATGTGTGTTATACTTTACTACAAATTGTGCACTGTATTGTAGACATTCAAAAAGGTGAAGTGGTCCAAGGTAGAAATAAAAATCAGTGGTGAATACCTTAATTACCCTAACATACCTTAATATGTTTTGCTGGTGACAATATTGTCTCTTTCTCCTACAATGGTGAAAACCTTCCAAGATAACTGAATTTAATGACAAATTATTAGGCTTGAAAAAAAAGTTTAAGAAGACATATTTAGTAACTAATTCCATTTCTTTCCCACTAATCAGGAACTGAAAAAGTCAAGAGCTACATCTAGATTACCTAGAAGAAAGTCTGAACCAAACTTAAGTAGGTTAGAGAATATTTGGATAAATTAATACTGTATTCAGTAGAACACACCAACCTCTTAAAGAAGAAATAGTTTACTACCTGTGCTGACAAATGGTTGTGACAGTTATACGGGAATGCAAAAATAGTACAGAAATTGAAAGATACACAGAAAAGCATGTTTAATATAACACAATGTGACATGAAAAAAATACATGCCAACATGTATGTGACATAATAAACTAGGTTGCCTAATGAAAAAAATATTTATTCAAGACATCTTGAATGTCCAACTTGAATACTGGGACTCTAATATACCAAGAAACAAAATACAAAAACAAACAATTTAAACTAAAAAAAAAAAAAGAACAACCATTAATTGATAATCAGGGAATTAACACTTTCTACTTCCAAACAGATATTCCAACATATGTACACCATTGTACACCAACATGAATATTAGACATTGAATTTGTACTAGTTGACCCAAAAATAAGCAAAACAATCACCAAAGAAATGCTCAGTTTAAAGGTGTAAAATGGAAATGGCTTTTAGCCTGTCAAAGAAATTGGAAAACAAGATTAAATGGATGGATAAGGGCTGATAATGATGCATAACTAACGGAGGACGTGTTGCCACCATAGGCAAATGAGGATATGTGCACAGTGAGGTGTTTTATAAAAGGGCTGGCATGATAGTTTGGTCTCAGACCTTAATGGAAAATTGATGCATTAATAAACATTGTTAAAGAAACATAATGGAAAGAGTTTATTTCATGCAGATTGATAGGACTATGTCTTTCTCAAAATGTCTAAAATGACGGGTCATCACCTAAAGAATTTGAAATTCTGGAAAAAGTTAAATTATATAAAATCTTCAGAGCATTTTAAATTGTAAGTATAGGGCAGGCTGTGCACAGAAAGTTATTTGCCGTAGTGCTAGTTTATAATTATCTGTTCTGGCTGCCTATAAATATACAGGGGACTGACTACTATATAGAGACAACATGGCAGGAGGAGCAAAATAGAGGTTGGACTTCTGGTGACTAGGAAGATATCCTATAACCTAAGAGAATTTTTGAATTCCTCCATTGCATACTTGACATGAGCTTAAACTAAAACAGGATAAAGATATTGCCTAATATATATATATATATTCCATATAAAGCTTGGCACTTTACCAATCTTTATAAAACCTCTTTATAAGAGCAAACTATAAGCTTCTTACTGTATAATGTCTTTGTATAGTAAAATATTTTCCCCAAGGAGTCCTGAGAATTGTAGTCACAAAAAAAGACTAACCAATTGTTGCCATTATCAAGTTTTGTTCTTCCGCTCCAGCAACTGTTGCTATTTTATTAGATAGATTTATTCTATGTTTTCATGGAACTCATTGGAAGAGGATACTTTGGGCACATATCTTCATCACAAATTGAAGTTTAACACAGTAAATATAAAATTTACAAAGGCAATGGGCTTAAAATGAGTCAACAATTAAAAGGTTTGGACTGGAACGCATCTGAAAAAACACAGGCAGAGGAAACGCAGGATACTTCGAAACTCAGTGTCCACAGTCTGTATGCCAAAACTGCAAAAGAATCACTCCGTTTCCAAGAAGAGACAGAAACTATGCTAAGTGTAATACTCTAGGAAGGTGGCTTAGCATGTGGAGAAAAGTCAGCTTTTCTGCCAAAAAGCAATAGAAATGGAGAAGATTCAAAGAGGAGGAGAAGAAAGAGAAATGAAAATTTCATATGGCTTGTAATTCCACCCTTCGGAGAGAAAAGCTGTTTGCATGGACTTTGCAAGGATGTATACTGTTAATATGTCATTTACAGTACTTTCTCCAATAAGAATAAAATATTTGCTTGTTCAGAGATAATCCTTGCCTGTCTTCCAGCATCAGCCATTTAGAAACAGCTGCTGGAAACCTAACGCCCAGAAGGTTCATCTTATTGCCAAAGGAAAGCAAAGAGAAAACAGTAAATATTTTTTTTATTCCTTTTGTATATTTTATCGACTAAAGTACTACTTGATTTCTCTCAAAGGTAAGTAAAGAGGTACACAAAACATTGGTCTTTGCCCTCTAAAATTTTCAACTTACACTTACCCACCAGGTTTCACAATTGAATACCAGCAGCATTTCTTTTCTGGTCCCTAAATGACTATAAAGATAATGGACACCTTTTTATTCCTAGAATCTAGAGAGAGATCTTCAACTTGCATAGAAGGGTGAAAAAGTGAGCATATTTTATCCTGAAATACATGTTTTGGGAATATTAGGAGACAGAATGTATTTTTTATAAGTTCTAACTGCAATTTTCACTGTAAAAATTGAAGAAAGTATATCTAGATCAGATATCATTTCATTGCTGATTGTATTGCTGGTGTTTCAATTTCAGTCCTCTGTCATCCAATAGCAAATCTGATTCACTTGTTTAATGCAGATCTAATTACTGTCCTCTGTATTCCTCTGCTATCTGCCTTTATATTTAGCAACAGCCAGAATGTCCTATGTTGCTTGTTTACTTTCTATTGAAAACATCCAGATTTGTGGGGTTTAAGACCAAATGAAGTCCAAAAACACTAGAGAATTCCTGGAAACCTGGCACTCAGACAAACCTGCCATCAACTGGCACATAGAGATAAGCAGCATCTACATGCCACAAAAAAGAGACATTCAAAAAAAGAAACAAAAAGCCCCAAAACAACCAGCAATCAGCACTTGTATGAGCAGAGATTAACAAGATTAACAGTAAACCAACAATCAGTTCAGACAACTAATAATCAGTTTAAACAAGCTAACAGTAAACAACAAACTAATCAAGGAATTACTAAAACCACTCCCATCAATGCTGACATAAATTTATATAAAATGAGAGCAAACCTCACTTCCTTCTAGCACTGATAACGCTACCTAGTTTATAATGAAATGTCTGCAATAAAACAACCAAGCTTAGAGAGCACTAAGGACCCCAGTGTTCAGCCCTAAGCCATAAATATTCCTCCAGCATCCAGAGTTGCCTTTACCTAGACCAGTGGTGGCGAACCTATGGCATGGGTGCCAGAGGCGGCATTTGGAGTCCTCTCTGTAGGCACACGTGCCGTTGGCCCAGCCTCGCCTCCCCCCGTGACCACTTCCTCTGCAGCAGCCCCCTGAAGGAGAGTCGCTCCTGAGCGTGACCCATGCGGAGCAGCGCAGCCAAGGACATGGCAGCCAGGCAGCATAGACAAGACTCTGCCCTCACACCCCATCGTGCACAGTTGATGCTGCAGGGCGCGGGCAGAGGCCATGACCACCATAGCACTGCTGGGCTGCCTGGGCGATCTGCGGCAGGCTCTGGAGGCGGTGAGTGGCCAGGTGGGGCAGGGGATGGAGCGGGGTGGGGCAGGGGGTGGAGTGTGGGCGGGGCCAGTTTTTGGACACTTGGTCTCTAAAAGGTTCGCCATCACTGACTTAGGCCATTATAACATATTTCTTAGCTGTATTTTCTTCACATCTTCTATGCAGAATACTCTGTTCTTGTCCTGTCTACCCATAGATCTTTGAAATAATGTTTAATTTTTGTACCATCAGGCATTCTGCATTTTTTAAAATTCTGATTTGCTTCTCATTAAAATAACCAAATTTAACCAAGCTCTCCGGAAATTGGAGAAAGTAGCATTTAAAATCAGTTAGTCTTCTACCTAATTATTTGTCTAAAGTATTTCAGAGTAAGATTTCTACCAGAATAGTGGCAAAAAAATAGTATTATGGTGCTGTTACAAGTAGTTCTCACTTACTAAAAACACTTGGGACTGGTAGCTCAGTCACTATACCACAGTGATTAAGTGAAATGTCACCTGACCATGCCAACTTAAGATGTCAGTTTGGGCTGTGGTAGTTAAGCAAATCACTGTGTGTCATTAAATGCAATGTCACATGACACCAACTTGTGACTTCCTG